ACTTGATTATGTGCATATGCATGCATTCAAGTACGTACATGTGTATGGTTATGTGCGTTGTGTATATGTGCATGTTCATGTGTTTGTGTGTGTACATTCAGTGCATGTGTCTTTTTACGTGTGTTCATACTCACAAGGACACGACACTTATATGTGTAGTGTTCTTGTGTGCGTGTTTATACATGTACTTTATGTGTGTGTGTGTGTATTAATCTCTCACTTAAACATCTCCTTGACCTCCCCCTTGAGCAGAGCCACCAGCACAGGCAGCCCAATGCAAGCAGGGACCAAATACAGCAGCGCCGGCTGCAGGGAGACAGGCACAAGAGACACACGCCACACGGGGACAGGCAACACAGGGACAGACACCACCAGGGTGAGAAGGGAGCACGTGGGTGCAAACGGAAGAGACAGAGGGACACAATGACACACGGGGGGGGGGGGGGGGGTGGGAGAGCATGCGAACATAGCCGAGACATGCACAAAGACATGGGACATGAGAACACAATCACACAGGGCAGGAGACACAGACAAGAGGCGAGACATACACAAAGACATGGGACATGAGAACACAATCACACAGGGCAGGAGACACAGACAACACACACATGGGGACAGGAAGCATTTCGATACCGAGAGGACACGGTTAGACACAGACAAAGAAGAGATAATGGGGAAACACCGGGACATGGGGACGGAGGATAGACGACAAGGACACACGAGAGAGGTGACCGAGACATATGAACACCACACACAGCAGTGGACACCGGGACAAAGGAACACGTGGTTAGGAAAACACATGAGATCACAGGATCATGGACATTCAGTAAACAATTCAGAGTGGATTGCCCGCTAAGAAAATTAGCTTACGGCAGTCCTCATCTGCCATGAACAGCTCGAAGCCAGTGGTGGAAACTCCATGTTCCTATGGTGGGGGTCGAGTATGCCCAGGGAAAACCACTGGAGACTTCCCACAATGGGGAACTCATTGTATCGACCACGGCGGAGGATTTATGAAACATGCCCAACCAACGTTTTCAACGTGTTGCGCCGGGAGATCGAAATGAACTGGCAACTTAAGCCATCTAGTATGACAAGAGAGACACCATACTCTTTGGTTCTTTCGGTAAAGTCACGTAGGTATAAAATAAATAAATCACGTGACTTTACCGAAAGAATGGACATAATAAAAATAATTCTCACGACGTTTCGGCCACAACGCAAGCAGCCGTCCTCAGGTGGAGAACAGGTCGTGAGAATTTTTATTATGTTTTATTTATTATTTTATTATTTCCATTCTACGTGACTTTACCGAAAGAACCAAGAAGATGAATCCCTGCAGTCACGAAAGCTTTAAATCGAAATTTTACCGAAAAAACTAATGGATTCCTGCAGTCACGAAAGCTTCAAATCAAGAAAGAGAGACACCGCTGCTGTGCTGGTCGTGTAGCCATCAGGGTGAAGGGTCACGCTCACCTGAGCATGCTTGAAGGTGTGCATCACGAAGATGGTGAGACCCAGGCCGAGGATGTAGGCAAGGAAGCTGACGTAGAAATACGTGCGGCTGTTTTTCTTCAAGCTGTTCATCCCAAACACAGATGATGATGATGATAAAGGTCCCACTTACAGTTGGTAGGAACAATGTATTACTTTTTGTGTTTAGTTTGTTGGCCTTCCCCCCCGCAACTCCGATTACGTATACATACACATTAATCACTAAGAGAGTTGCGCATAGGCAAAGCCCAGCCAGGTTAAGACACCTATAAGGTATTGATGACCACCGTTGCCGGGAATTCAACATAGGCCACCTGGATTATAGAGTAGAAAGTTAAACACTGCTAAGTACATAAATAATGGCCATGCCATAGACACGAAACCAGCGCTACTGGGAGCCAGGGTTTGACCGCAGGATCTGGGTGTCTCTTTTTAAATCCTTTATATTAAGTTCGCTTGCTTGCGTGCTTGCTTACGACCGTGCAAATCTTTCAGTCGTTTTTTAACCCACTTCCCGTGATCCAATCGAGCTGACATTTTGCACACTCGTTGTGCGAGACAATTAATGTTCGTGAAAAAATGTTTCCAAAATGTTACACTGTTTAGGGAAAACAAATTAAATATTTAATTACCAATTGCTTAATATTGGCAGACAATGATCTGACCCATAGGTGGCAGCCATCTCAAGCCAGAGGACGAGAGGACTCTAGCCGCCACGCATATAAAGGATTTATAGTGAAAAACTTTGTTTTTACTGGTTATACTTATTTGTCTTGTAAATAATGATAGTTAAATACAGCCCTTCATTGATTCGCTACTGTATGAGGGCCTCCCCACACAGTGCGGGCTGTAGGGTATAATTAATAGCGCAGTGCACGAGCAACTACCTCGCACGCACACGAGAAAACACTCCGAGAAAAAACAACTCACTATTTGCAAGGTAAATTGTTACCTGATATCAAAGCGGAGCAGGAGGGCAATGAAGATTCCTGAAAAAAGACAATACGACTTTACATTAGGCTTCATTCGCATTGAACGAGGCTGACAACCCTGTAAGTAAGCCTCGGGTAAACCTGCAGTGAAACAGAGTTGACACCAACATTAAATCTAAGCCTCACTCTCCCAAGGACCAAGGTGTTAGTCAGAGCTGTCTTGTGATATCAAAGCTACGGGCAAAACAAGCGCCCGCACCGAGCGCGTCGCCTTGCACAATTAACAAACTTTTGTCGTTTATGTTGCAGATCTTGATCCATGTCGTAGAGAACAGACTCCACTGCAATATTAATACATGATATAGACCATTGACCATGGAAATAGACAGGCAGGGAGGCAGGTGGGCAGACGGTGAGAATGATGGGCACGCAGACAGACAGGGAAATTGTGCAAATGAGACAGGCAGACAGGTAAGCAGACAGTGAGAATGATGGGCACGCAGATAAGACACAGAAATAGTGCAACTGAGACAGACAGGCAGACGAGAGCCGGACAGACACAGGCAGGTAAAGAGAAGGCACGCACCCAGATGGACAGACAAGCAGTCAGGCAAGCAAGGGCATACACATACACACACACAAACTGTAGGAAGACGGACGGATGCACAAATGGATGGACGGACCTGGTATGACGATGTCGCCGAGTCCCAACATGGCAAAGTTGCTGGCCTCCAATCCCCTCTGCAGCAGATCTTGGGGGAACACCACTGCAACACGACAGCACTCGTGAATAGCATAACTATTTTCCCGCAGGGTGGGTGACGATAACTATCTCATAACAAGGCCACCAATGCACACGTGTGAAGAGGCGGTGTAGCCAACCTCCCCACAAGCCCGGCTGCCCTTTTTCTAACGAGCGTTGATGTTGACAACACAATTCACGGGGTTTCTCATTTTATGGCCTAGATCAGCGTTCTGCCTTCTGAGCCATCCGACCACCTTTAAGTAAACGTTATACTGGTAGGAACCTCCTGGTTACACCAGCCCACAGGGGATTATTGTGTCCGTCTGTTCGTCGTGCATCCAAAAATGGGAGGGGTGGGGCTGGGTGGAGAGGGGAGGGTGGGGAGGGGCTGGGTGGGGAGGGGCTGGGTGGGAGGGGCTGGGTGGGGAGGGGAAGGTGGGGGGGGAAGGTGGGGAGGGTGGGGTTGGGTGGGGAAGTGGGGGTGGGGGGTGGGGCTGGGTGGGTGGGTGGGGCTGGTCACCCCGTGGTGCCCATATAAAACTAAACGTTTAACCTACTCACGCCGGCTTGTGCCCGACCTCACAGTCGGGCATATTTGCGGAATACACCACGCCGCCGTTGACCCTGCAGGCCATTGACCGAGCAACTCAATTCCCTCCGCAGGAATGTGTCCCTTGTGACAAACTGCACGACTGTGTTGTCAGTCAATACCAAATGAGCCCCACTCAAGCGGACAGACGGACGTAGCGGCCTCACGTTTGATCGGAGCCTCGAACGACTTCGCCACAGTCACCATGACGTTAGTGCCGAACACCTGGGCGATGGAACGGAAACATGAAAAGAAACGCATGCGCACACACACGCGGAGAAACGATCACAAACACAGAAAGGCACGCGACAACGCATCCATTCATCGAGCACAAGTGATTCTTACTGGTGCCGATTCATCTTAATAATCCATTATGAAAATAAAGTTTTCTATCGATTAGCACTGCGCTATAAACCCAACTAAATGATTTGGATTTCCAGCCTCAACGAACAGCGCTGGTGATATCAGAACTGGTCATGGAGCCTCCTCCCTAGGTCGATTCAGCCTTCACTCAAAACCTGGTGCGGTGTGACAGAGATCACCCGTTGTGGTCCGGAGTACACTAGCATCGTTCCGGCCTTCAAAGATGCTCGCTCACAGCAGAATCTGAATATTTTAGACTGTGGAGGAATCCAATGAGCTAAGTAGTTCTTTAAAGCTTTCGTGACTGCAGGGATCTCCTCCCTTTGATGCTGCTAATCCTGCATAATGCACGGGCATAATATGACTTTGAAACCCCCCGCCCACCTCCTACGCATTTCACAAGTAGTACTAATCACATATCTGCATTTCCCATAAATATGCTAAATTCCTCTTGATATGCAATTTTTTTTGTCAAGGCGCCATTCCCCTTCCAACCCAGCTTAAATATACGCTCCAAGCGTGGTGGTGTTTTCATTCAGACGCTGTCTCCCCGACAGACCTGGTCTTCACCTGAGGATGGCTGCTTGCGTTGTGGCCGAAACGTCGTGGAAGGATTGTATTATGTTTCATTTTTATTATTTTATTATTTCCCTTCTACGTGAACTTTACCGAAAGAACCGAGAGATAAGTAGCTCTTTTTCACAGATTTCCAGTAGCAGTTTCACCCAACAACCTGTAGGCTACATGGAAGATCTCTCTTACAAGTGCTTATGTGCGTGTGGGCATGTATGCGTGTGCAGGTAGGGCTGATGACCGATCAGATGTGCTGATGTGGTACGGGAGGATTTGGAGCCGAGTGGACTTGCCGATGACTGTAATCAGCGTTTATCAAGGTCGGCTTCTTAGGGGAAGTTCGAAATGGACGCTACGAGGCAGCTGAAGGGCAGAGGAGCGACTCATAACAATGAGCAAAGCGCCAGGTGGCTAAAACGCAGCAAAAGTTGGCACAGTGGGGAGCAGAGGTGGTGCATCTGCCAGCCATTTGTCAGTCAACCCATGGCACCTGGCTGGCACAAGCGCTGTGGTAAGCTCACCGCTACTTAGTGACGAATGGTGGCTGGTGTCATTGTTGTTACGTGTACATATGTGCGCAAGCAATCGAGCGTGCGTGCGTGAGTGCGTGCGCACACCCAGAAGATGTCGTAGATGAAGAGTCCGCCCAGCAGGATGCACCCGGTGCACACGTTGTTGAGATGAAGCAGCTCCACTCCGTTCAGTGCAAATGCCAGCCCAAACAGGTTGTTGGCGATCCAGTGCTTCAGCGCGACACGGCCGACACAACCACGGTTTTAACAGCACAACCAGTGGCACGACCAGTGGCACGACCAGTCGGCACAAACTTCGTTCGTAATAATACTACTTGCAAGGCGCAGCCCTGAAATTGCTTGCTCACTCCCACTGCCGGCAGAAAAGGCGTCCACAAGAGCGAACACAAATAGAGGGTACTGGGTCTACTCTTCAACGTTGACATGTTGGAAGGAGTGGGCGTCAACCAAACTTTAACCCCACCACACGCAAACCTGCCGATTGACTGACTGTGGTGTAACCAATTTTATCCTGCTGCTGGGTGGGCAGAGGAGGTGGGGCGAGGGGGATTTAAGAAACCTGCACAATTGTTTCTACGATGGAATCTAGCCGGCGACCTCTGGATTGCAAGTCCAGTGTGCTGCTAACCATTACACTGTGGCAGTTTCCCACAGCGTGGACAAGGCGGTGATTATTCATCAGACGATGAGTTAAAATAAGAATGCAGGCAAGGGTGCAAGTGAGAGTGTACAGGTGCGATGTGTGTGTGTTCATTGCAGATTCCAGGAAAGCGAAAGCAGGTCACACCTTCTTGAGGATGTACCAGACGCCCACGACAGAGCTCAGCACAAGGCAGAAGAGGTCCTTACGGTCAAACTCGTAGTTCAAGATCTCTGCATAAACCAGGACAGGAAAATAGCGTCTTAACGTGGCCAAAACACAACGCACAACTGTTTTGCGAGTGTGCTTTGAGCGCCTGCGTGCGTACATGTGTATGTCACTGTGTCGTTGTTGGTGTGTGTGCGTGTGTTGGTACCACTGTGTGCACCCCTATGCATGTCCGCGTGTCGTCGTGGGTGTGCGTCTATTGCTACGTGTGCGTGGCAAGGTGTTCTTTGTGTCAATTTGCGTTCACTCGGTACTGTGCGAGAGTCTATGCTTGCGTGTCGTGGCGCTACCGTGTCCACCTGCGTGTGTGTCTGTGTGCGTCCACGGGTGTCTGTCTGTATGTGTGCGTGTAGACTTACCCTCACGTGCCTCCCCAGTGCCCTGTGTGAAGAGCAGCTGATACTGGGAGGCGAAGGCTGCACCCGGGAACAGTCGAGCCATGGCAGGACTGACAACGTAGAACACAGAGACAAAAAGACATGGTACCAAAAACAACACCTCCCACGTTGCGCCGTACTGGCGTTCATAGGTGCGCAGTGGCAGCACTTGCCCCAACAGCCTGTGTAGACTACATAGGGGATCTTTATCTTTGTGTGTGTGTGTGTGTGTTCACCTGATCGTGTGTGACAGAGCCAGTATCCCCAGCACAAAGAAGTACATGGAGAGGAGCAAGTTGATGTACTCTTGCGAGAACACCTGAGGACACATAGTATATGCACAGAAATATAAGCAAACACAAAGATCCCCCATATAGTCTGAACAGACTGTTAGGGGCAAGTGCTGTTAGCGCGCGCCGATGAAAGCCGGCACGGCACACGAGGGAGTGGGTGGCCAGCACCACGCCATAGTGGCGATGTATACGCACCGCACCAGGTACTTATTTGAGGCTGAGTGGACCAAAGCAAACACACACACAGTTACACCCACACATATCCATATACACATGCAGAAATGCATACACCAAAACGCACACGCATACTTAACGACACAGTTTCAACTATGCACATGCATAAAGTAGCAGCTGCACACGCATAAAAATAAACACCCATACACAAAGAAACTGTTACATACACAAACATATGTAAAAAAATACACACATTTTACACCTAAGACACAGATGCCCTTTTAAGTCTGTACACCCATGCAGTTTCACACACACATACACATCACACACAAATACACTTACACACATGCACAATCTGTTACACCCACACACATAACTGCGCACGTATTCAACAGACGGGCACACAGACGATGCTCCCAGCAAGGGGCGTGCGCTTAGACTCGATTTTAATTAAGTGTTTAGTTATTTTTGTATCAAATTTCTCACTTCGCATGGATCATCAAATCCGGGTGGTATGGGAACACAACCTGGCACCATGGCTTCACAGTAATCACCGCATGTCAGTGGCGCGCGCATGTGTGTGCACGTGCGATTGTTTACTGGAGTCGAAACTGCTGTGCACGCTATGTCTATGTGCTGTGTGTGCATGTAATACGGCTGTGTGTCACGTACTAGCAGTGTGTGTGTGCGCGTCATGTATTAATAGTGAATATGTTATGCACGAGTGTTCTGAGCCACATGCTTGTAGTGTCTTTAACATGCTCTTGGTAGGTGTGCTAAATGTTAGTGGTGCCTGCTGTGTGTCGGCGGTGCTGTGCTACATCAGTCTCAAGTGTGGTGTAAGTCTACCACAAATCAGCCCCTTATGTCCTAAGTATCAGCGGACTCGTGGGTGTGCGCTGGCATGCTCTTGGTATGCGTACCATACGCTAGTGGTGTCTGCTACATTGGTCCCAAATGCACTATGTTCCAGCGGTGGGCATACCGAGCGTGAATGTCTGCTACGTTTCATCTACGAGTAGTGTGTGTGGTATAGCGGGCGAAGCATCAACAACAACCGCCGACGACAATGGCGGTTGTTGTTGATGCGTGCATCATGTGGCGGTGGAGTGCGTGCGTGCGTGCGTGCGTGCGCGAGCGGTGACGCTGCACCTTGAAGAAGAGGTAGAGGCCAAAGAGCGTGCAGGACGCAATGATGGGGAAACGAGCAGCGTCGCGGCTCGTGATCGTCTCTGTCATGTCCGACGTCGTCTGCGAAAAAAACAACACGAGGGACACAGACACAAATACGTAAACATACAGACGCACGGAGACAAACACGGGAAGACAGACAGAGACAAAGGTCCCCTGTATAGCCTTTAAAAGGCTGTTGGGACAAGGGATGTCAGCGAGCACCTATGAGGGTCGGTGAATCACGCGAGGGGGTGGGTGACCAACACCAAGCACAGACACCTTTGTCTCCCCAGTGATTATGTTTACACATCACACCAAGTACTCATTTAAGGCTGAGTTGGCCTAGGGGAGGCTCAGGACCGATTCAAATATTCACCACTGTCTTTGGCTTTGAGAGGGAATCGAATTCGGGTCGCTGGGTTCGTAGCGCTGTGCGCTAACGATGCACAGATAGGCACACTAACAGAGATGCAAACAGGCAAAAATGCAAATGCACACACAAACAAAGACAAAGATCCCCCGGATAGCCTTAGACTGTCAGGGCAAGTGCTGTTAGCAAGCACCTATGTAGGCCGGAACAATATACGAGGGGGTGGGTGGCCAGCACCACGCCCGACCGCCTTTGTCTCCCCAGTGGTGATGTTTACACACCGCACCAGATACTCATTTAAGGTTAAGTCGACCTAGGGGAGGCCCAGGACAGTTTCAGATAATCGTCACTGGTGGTGGCCGTGAGCGGGAATCGAACTCGGGTCGTCGGGTTCATAGCGCAGCGCGCTAACCACGACACTACCACACAAATCCACATAGATGCACAGGCATCCAAACACACAGAACAATGAGATCATCCTTTTCAAATCGTTACGGACGGTTGGTTAATCTTCTTCTGGCATGCTGCTGAATGTAAAAACTCAAAACAGTCCAGTTTACCGAGCCAGTTGATGGTGTTATTTATGAGGGCCGTGTGCAGCCCTTCCACTCCTCTGCTGAACGATCTTTTGGGGCCATGGTTTAGGATATGATGCTTAGTGAGAACATATTCCAAGACAACATGACATGTAGTTGATACCAACGCAAACCCAGTAGTGCAAGTCTATTTTCAGCGAATGAGTCCGGGCAGAGGCTTGCTTTTTTTAAGGCCGAATGGCCCAGACAAGGTTTAGATACTAATTACTATTAGCATTGTGTATCTTGATCAGGAGTCAAACTCAAGTCACTGGTAAATGCGTAGGTGGCTCATGATCATAATGCTGGAAATACCCACAGGTCAGAGGTCGCAAACGGGTTTTGATTCCTTACCCGTACCCGGCCGCACCAGGGTCGCAAATGGGTACCCGTACCGGGCCGGGTACCCGTTCCCTATCCGTACCCGTATCCTACCCGAAATGAGTGACAAACGGTTACTCACCAGTGACTCACGGCCTACCCGTACCAGTACCCGGCCGCACCAGGGTCGCAAACGGCTACCCGTACTCGTACTTGGCCGGGTACGGGTAGCCGAGTATCGGGTAGGGTACGGGTATCGGGTACCCGGTTGCGACCTCTGCCACAGGCCCTGGCAAATTTGGGTCAGAAGCTAGAGGATTCTCATCTGAAATAAAATCTGCCCAATTTGGCATTGAGAAATACATGTCATGGGAGACATAATTGCCCCCGCCCACTACCGTGTACACAATATTCACCCCTGAAGGGATCTCAGAAGCAGCTCAGTGATATCTATTTCTGCGGGCCATTCTCTCACACGAAAGGTAATTTCATAATGACGTGACGCCGATAGCAATGTTGTGATATAGAATAAAAGTTCCAAAAAAAGTGCCCTCTTTTTAAACACTCGACTGAAATGCGGACTCCAATTCAGACGGATTAAGTGTCAAAAACTCGTGGCGGGGAGCCAGTGCGTTGAGACGAATGTCCCGGTAAACAAACCGTATTAATAGCTGTCTATTAATATGGAAGATTGCTTTATGTCTGCTCATTAATGGGGTTTTATTTCTCACTATGAAGCACATACTGCTTTATAAATGAGCACAGATTAGATGCGCTTGGGTAACTCAGTGGGATCAAATGCAAAACTCAGTCAAACAAAATAAGCCAACATGCAAACTGTTGCAATTCAGAACAATATAAGAGGGATGGACATCAAAGGCATTTCAAACTATTTATGGTTAGTGGCATGTTTTTTGACATGATGATGATGATGATGAAAATGTAATTCCCTATTCAGCAAATATAGTTATTTGGTTCTTTCGGTTAAGTCACGTCTAAAGATAAAATAATAAATTAAATTAAATAATAGCATACGACGTTTTGATTGCAACACAAGCAATCATCATCAGGTATAATGAAATAGCGACATAAAATCTAACCAGAAAACTATAGACAGACATGTAAGCAGACAGATATCACCAAGATACATAGAGAGAGCAACACAGGTAACAGAGAGGGGTGATCATCTCTGTGGGGTGGCCTTAAATAGACCCCACAGAGATGATCACCCCTTTCTGTTACCTGTGTTGCTCTCTCTATGTATCTTGGTGATATCTGTCTGCTAATATGTCTGTCTATAGTTTTCTGGTTAGATTTTATGTCGCTATTTCATTATACCTGATGATGATGGCTTGTGTTGCAATCGAAACGTCGTATGCTATTATTTAATTTAATATTTTATCTTTAGACGTGACTTAACCGAAAGAACCAAATAATAATTCCTGCAGTCACGAAAGTTTCTAAAATTAAGAGCAAATATAGTCTTATAGCCCTTTTGTCAATTTGCTTCAAACTGAAAAACTTGCCTACACTGTCTATCATACCGGTTGCTTAAACATACTTCACCACGCTGGCCCATAACGTGAATAGAAAAACTAATTCAGACTGCCGCATTCAAAGTTCTAACCACTGCGCCAATGATAGCAGAAGGAAATCGTGCAACTCGCATTTCCAAGGAGCACTTCACTTTTGGATATTCTGTAGTAGGTAAATATAAAACTCCGATCGTATTTACAGCTGACGATCGGACTATGTTAGACAGCGGCTGAATGGACGAGCAATTTGCTGAAAGGGTGGCAATCTAAGAACTCGACGCTCATCGTCGCTGCACGTGGGCGAGGGGTGCCGATGAAAGAAAACACGAAACCCAATCAGCACGGTGGAGGCGCATGACTCCTTCTTGATTTCACAGACCGAGGCGCTGTACCAGATGCACTCGGAGGAATCTAGCTCAAAGGTTGCATTGGCACCACTCCAAGAGGAATGTGGTGACCCATTCCAGGGTTGACAGGGCCACGTGCAATGTGTGTTAGTTACATCATGGCCACCTACGGCATTACCAGATGTTAGTGGTGGCGGAGGTGATATTGGTGGAGGTCGTGGTGATGAAGTTGAGTGGCAGTGGCGAGTATGGTTAAGATGAGATTGGTAGCGGTGGTGAGTGTTGGTTGGGTTAATGATAGGCGAGGTGATAATGGAGTTAGTGATAATGGTGGTGGTGCTGATGGTGATAGGTGTGGTAAAGGTGATTAGTGTGTCGAGGGTTGTGTTAGTTGCAAACAAGTGTGTCAAAAGAGTGTGAGTATTTAACCTAGCAGACTCGTCGGTGGGGTTGTTGGATCACACAAGGATCAAGTAATAAACAACTGCTTTGAATAAGAGATTTATATATATATATATTCAGAAAGGAATTTGACCAAGATTCTACACAAGATTATCTTGAAAAATACCCATATCACAGAAATGTTTTCCCAGGTAAATATCTATCATATGCCACTGTAATTGCTTTTATATGTATTTTACTGTATTGCTTTCCGTCACAAATGTTCACTATTGACAATACAACTTCCCTCGTTTGAAATGTAAATATTTTACCAGCCACGAATTTCAAAATGGGTAAGAGCACAAAGCTTGATATATTATACAGTTAAAACCTAACTATTGTACTTTCATACTCTTTCGTTCTTTCGGTAAAGTCACGTAGGTAGAAAAATTATAGATCACGACGTTTCGATTGCAACACAAGCAATCGTCATCAAGTGGGACAACCACAGCAAGAAAAAACTGCTGAAGTCTAGTTTACTTTCCTTGAAATTCAAATCACAAACGCTGTATATAGTAGACTGAAATGGAATATCCTATGAAGTAATGTCTAAAGATAACACATTTACTGTGAATCTAATGGTAATTTAATACAAAATTTATGATGTACTCCATTCTTATTACCAATAGTGCCATCAGCCACAATCTATCCACTGCTGGATTAAAGTCCTCAAAAGTCGTTGCCCTACCACACGGTGTCGTGCTATAATAATATATCTAACTCCTGAACTGGACGAGGCCTCTAATCTCATCACTCCACCTCCCCGGTGGTCACGCTCGCAGGCATTTTTAAATCCTTTATATTAAGTTCGCTTGCTTGCTTGCTTGCGTGCTTGCTTGCGTGCTTGCTTGCTTACGACCGTGCAAATCTTTCGGTCGTTTTTTAACCCCCTTCCCGTGATCCAATCGAGCTGACATTTTGCACAGACTCGTTGTGTGTGACAATTAATTTTCGTGAAATTTTTTTTCCAAAATTTTACACTGTTTAGGGAAAACAAATTAAATATTTAATTACCAATTGCTTAATACTGGCAGACAATCATCTGACCCATAGATTGCAGCCATCTCAAGCCAGAGGACGAGAGGACTCTAGCCGCCACGCATATAAAGGATTTAGAGTGAAAAACTTTGTTTTACGGGTTTACTTGTTAAATCCTTTATATTAAGTTCGCTTGCTTGCTTCAGACCGTGCAAATCTTTCGGTCGTTTTTTAACCCACTTCCCATGATCCAATCGAGTTGACATTTTCCACACGGACTCGTTGTGCGTGACAATTAATGTTCGTGAATTTTTTTTCTCCAAAATTGTACACTTTTTAGGACAAAAATATTATATTTAATTACCAATTGCTTAATGGTGCAATGCAATCATCTGACCCATAGGAGGCAGCCATCTCAAGCCAGAGGACGAGAGGACTCTAGCCGCCACGCATATAAAGGATTTATAGTGAAAAACTTTGTTTTTACGGGTTATACTTGTTTCTCCTTTGCCTGCCATTCCAGCACTAGTCTCATTTATTGGCTGTCATGTCTGCTAGTCAATGTGTCTTGTACAAACCCATTTACTTTTCTCAACAAGCACTAAGATGTCTGTAATTTGTGTATATTTTTGTAGCTGCTTCTCAATGAAGTTACAAGGATGCACCTCTCCGTCCGTACCTCTTTTCACAGTCGTTGCTCGAAATTTTCAGTGTTCATATTTCCAGAGAATATTGGACCGATTGGAAAACTTTCTTCTTTGGGCAAATTGGTATATTGCGAAATTAAATTTTACAAACACACTCCAATCTGCTCTTGATCACAGTCCACGTTAAATAATTACCCGAGGCATACATACTGTGTTATGTTTGCCTGTTTTGTCCATACAAAAATATAGATTTTATTTTCATCAAATATTTTCACTTTGGATCCAAAATCAATTCCTCTAATTGATATCCATTGGTACTTATAGTGACTGTCACCATAAAATGACATTTATGGGACATTATATATTATATATGCATTATATGTGTGTCTTTATTTCTCCAATATTCCTAAAATGTATTCTCATCATCTTTGTTCCTGAGAATACATTTTGAGAGCTTATCTCCTTACAGATTTTGTATCGTTACCTTCCTCACGGAAACTCAGCGCAGCTGTTCTATGCTTGTAAACAATTTTTTTATCCTTGTTGTATGTTTTTTTATTACGTCTGTTTTGACAGCTTGGATGACTGTATCAGTTTCCCACTGAGTTAAATGCGTTACTATCAATCATTCTGACCAGGACGAATAAATATCAAATACTTAGCCTTTCTAGACCACAAGTAGTACTATTTTGATTTAAAGCTTTCGTGACTGCAGGGATTCATATTCTTGGTTCTTTCGGTAAGTTTCCTTGCTGCGGATTTCACACCTGATGATGATTGCTTGTGTTGCAGTCGAAACGTCGTGAGAATTTTATATTTTTATTCTTTTATTGTTTCTCTTCTACGTGACTTTACCGAAAGAACCAAGAATATAAGTAGTACTATGTTAGAAGTAAAATTATTTAATATAATAGTAAGGCAGACGTATTTCATTGATAAACACATTATATTGAGATAAAAACAGGTACACGTGGATTAATGACATACTATAATTTAAACTGTTAAGATAAATAAGTGGGATTGGGCAGGACACGTTATGGCATGAAGGAATGATGGCCAATGATCAAGAATAATAACGGAATGGAAGCCAAGGAATGGCTAATACAGGGCAAGTCTTTTATAAGGGATAACCAAGTACTGTAACTTTTTTTTCAAATTTACTTGGGTATACTTTTAAAAGACACACCTCTCTTTCATCGCCCGAGCATAATTTGACAAGGGTCGGCACAGACTTATTATTTACACACACCTGGCTGCGACCTGACAAAAAAAAAACACACGTAACATTTTACTCTAAATGAATACACCGTTTTTAATTTCCAATTCAATGCGTTAACGCATTCTAACGAGACACAGCAAGAGGAACCATATGGGTTCCAGAAAACATATGCTGGTTAATTATACAAGTTTAATAAAACTAACTGATGAGAAAGAAAGAGCGAGTGGGCTTGCAAAGGACACGTCATGGCTTAAAGGGAACGATGCTAACGAAGAAACAACGCAGTGACACCATTGGAACCTCCTTTGCCAGTAGCAAAATATGATAATTGTGTTTTTACCCTTTTATCTGGCTACAAAACTGACACCTTTGCATTCCGACCGCAGGTATTGTGGTCAATGCAAACATGGCTTCTTGTAAAAAAAAGGTGTCAGTTTTGTTGCCAGATAAAAGGGGTAAAAAAAAACAATTATCAACGCAGTGACAGCCAAGGAACCCAAAGCGTCGACCGAGGAAGACGGACACACGAAATCAATTCGTGGGATCGTGAAAAGCTCGCGACGGCTCAGGAAGCAGTCCATCCAGCAGTGGATTGACCACTGCTGATGGATAACACTGAGGACAATTCAACACACACATACATATGGTGCGCGGCCTACGCAAACCGGCGCAATAATCCCCCACCCCTTCGCTCTGCGGGGCCCCGCCGCGTGACGCGCGCCTCCCCCGGTAGGCGCCGTCAGGCAAGACCGTGGTCGCGGCCTGGGCAAGGGGGGGTACCGCGCCTCTCACCTTGGACTTTGCGGACTTGACGCTGCGCAGGGAACCGAAGAAGATGGGCAGCAGCGCCATGACGACCAGGGAGCCATAGGCGAGTGCGATGCCCTCGGGCGTGGAGGGAACCTTCGCCGTGGCGTTGACCGCCGCCTCGGCCACGGAGAGAGTTGCGTTCAGGTCCGTATCCGCCATCGCCACGTACTCTTTCTGCCTCGCCGGCGATTCGATTAACTTCCTGATCGATTCCTTCACGCGTCGGGGGAATCGTTACGTTGGCTTGATTGTCTTGGGGGCTTTGAAGGGAATCGATTCTTTGCGCCGATTCACAGTCAGTTGGAGATGTTGTCGATTGGAATCGTTCGTGGAGATTGTGTAAACTGTGGTTTACAATAACAGCTGGCAATGGTTTCTGAATGGGTTGCCAGATCAGAGGGTTTTTTTTACTTTGTATATTTGTGTGTAAAGGGTGATCCAATTATAGGTACTCCTCTAATTACGAATATTCAACTTATGAACTTTGAGAGATACGAACAAACATGCCACCACCACCGCCGTGCAATAGGCGGCGGTGGTGGTGGCATCGACATCTGCAGAAGTGTGAAGAACCAAATTCTTTGGTTATTTCGGTAAAGTCTAAATTGTACTGAGTGCACTGGCAGTCTATAATGTAGACTGTAGCCTGGTTCTTAACCTTAGCGAGCGTACTGGCAGTCTATAATGTAGACTGTAGCCTGGTTCTTAACCTTAGCGAGCGTACTGGCAGTCTATAATGTAGACGTATTCTTGGTTCTTTCAGTAATTTTAATATATGAGAATAGGGTTTCCCCTTTTTTCTGGCAACAAAACAGATGTGAAGATGTTAAAACACTAAACTGAAACCTTTTACAAGGAATCATGTCTGCATTAACCACAATACTTGTGGTGAGAATGCAAACCAAAAACATACTCTGATAATATATGCGTTGTCTTTGAAACTGATTGGTCCACACCAGAGACAGCTTTCTTTCGAGCCTAGTCTCAAACTGTGTAAGACTAGAGGACGCCAAAATGCTTACTGAAAGAACGAATAAGTATAACCCGTAAAAACAAAGTTTTTCACTCAATCCTTTATATGCGTGGCGGCTAGAGTCCTCTCGTCCTCTGGCTTGAGATGGCTGCCACCTATGGGTCAGATGATTGTCTGCAGTATTAAACAATTGGTAATTAAATATTTAATTTGTTTTCCCTAAACAGTGTACAATTTTGGAAACATTTTTTTACGAACATTAATTGTCTCGCACAACGAGTCTGTGTGCAAAATGTCAGCTCGATTGGATCACGGGAAGTGGGTTTAAAAACGACCAAAAGGTTTGCACGGTCGTAAGCAAGCAAGCACGCAAGCAAGCAAGCGAACTTAATATAAAGGATTTAAAAATAAGTCTACATTATAGACCGCCTTTTGGCGTCCTCTGGTCTAACACGGTTTGAGACTAGTCTCGAAAGAAAGCTGTCTCTGGTGTGGACCAATCAGTTTCAAAGACAATGCATATATTATCAGAGTATTTTTTTTTTGCATTCTCATCACAAGTATTGTGGTTAATACAGACATGATTTCTATGTTAAAGGTTTCAGTTTGATGTTTTAACATCTTAACACCTGTTTTGTTGCCAGAAAAAAAAGAGGAAACCCTATTCTTATATTTCGGCACTAGCAAAGGAGGTCCCAATTGAAACCTTTGTACAAGGATTCATGTCTGCATTAACCATGATACCTGCAGTCAAATGCAAACAAAAAACACGAGATGATAATATATGCATCGTCCTTGAAACTGATTGGTCCACACCAAGGGATATTATCATCGTGTTTTTGGTTTGCATTTGACTGCAGGTATTGTGGTTAATGTAGACATGAATCCTTGTAAAAGGGTTTCAGTTTTTTGCTAGAAAAAAAGGGGGAAAGCCCTATCATTATATTTTGGTACTGGCAAAGGCGGTCCAATGACGTGTTGAGCTGTTTTACACAATTGGTTTATCAATTTCAACTGCACTTAACATGAATATAGACTTTGGCTCAAAAGGCCATAACCAAACTAAACCGAGAGCTGAATCTGATTTCATAAAATTGGCCATATTCCCGAAAAAAGGGGCTCACATCTAGACAGTTGAATGTGATTAAAACGGGTCTACAAGTAAATTGTCTCAACCTGGCCACCAATGACCGCACCCAACAACCAGCGCCTAAAATCTGGCCCTGCACAAAGGGATACATTCCAAATGTGAGAATTAAATGTTGACTCATCCATTACTCTCGGTGGTAGGGTGTGTGGCAAGTGCTGCCACCTACTTTGTAAACCACGAACTCTGTGATATCCACTTCTGCGGGCCGTTATCTCATGCGATGTTGCACTGATCTGCAAGATATCCAAATAGACTCTTCTTAAATATTTCCTTCATTGTAACGGGAATGGGGGAATTCACGTGGTTTAGTAGTGAATAAGATAATCAATAATGTAAGGATCACACAGACCATCCAGTGGTTTTCTCCAGACGTTTCAACCACAGGACCTTAACACATTTAAGCTTTCACCCTGGTGGCCGCTATGTAATGTCGATGTTAGTCAACAGATGACAAAACCAAGCCTATATGATGAATGCACAACTCAAGTCTTAAAACGCTTGACAAGTCATATTTTACTCACTACTTGACAGAATGAAACCTAACCGAAAGGATTGTGGTTAAGATGAATATAAAATTAATATTAAACGGAAAGCACGGGTTTATGCTGTAATTCATGTGAATTAACTCCTTTATATTTCTGCAGGAAAAAAGCAGACGTGTGGAGGATGTTGAACACAGTACTGCATAATTACAGCAATGTTCTTCATTTACCAGAATTTAACCAAGAGAGGCTTACTCTTAGGTTTTTTCGGTAAAGTCACGTAGGTAAAAATAAAATAGAATAGAAATAAAATAGATTACGTTTCGGAGGCAACACGTCGTGATCTATTATTTTATTTCTATTACTTTTATTAATTTATTTTACATTTTTATTTTAACCTACGTGACTTTACCGAAAAAACCTAAGAGTGTGAATCCTTGCAGTCACAAAAGCTTCAAATCTAGAATCAAGAGAGGCTCAACAAGTCCCAGGCTCTTCATGGAACAATGACAATGTTTCCTGATGGAAATATGTTGAGAATAAAAAAAACACAATCAGAACTCGCAAGCATATTGAAAAAAAAGTATCGTCTTATTTTCATCCATTAATTGAATAATGTACAGCACCTTTGTCAATTCACCGCGAGATGAAGCCCTCCCAAGGCTGCGTCAGTCACGGGGGTTGTACTTCACATGGTGAAGTATGATCAATGCTGGTTGGCAAAGTTGACGGGATGCTCAGGACCAGCTTAGATATCACTAATCACGGATGTTAGCCAAGGCCAGGAATAAAACTCAGGTCACAGGCTTCATTGTGCAGTGTGCTATGCCACCACTCCAAACCTAACATTAACTTGTATTGCTCAAGATGAAAAGGTGCAGCACTGCAATTACTTGCTCATGTTACTGCTGGAGCAAGGGACTCCACTCGAAGAGCTCTGGAGAGGCCCTTTACAGGTTATTTTGGCCTACTCTTCCACGATGGCCACACACAGAATTTGCAGCGTGACTGTGGTGTACCGAGCCACACTGCTGGGTAGACAGAGGCAGGGGGGTAGGGGGCAGATTTATGAAAATTGACTCATGTTCAAACTGCCGCACCGGGAGATCAATAAAAACTTAGGAAACATTCCACTACATCCACAAATGCCGAAACATCTTCCAGTGCTCCGAGGGTTTGGGGAAGATGTGCGTGAGCGTGTTCGTGCATTTATATGTAACGAAAACACACGCGGGCTCAATTGTAGTAGGGATTGTAGGTGACCCAGTGGGCCGTCTCCTTCTGGGCCGAGCTGTGAGAGGTGAACAGGGACTTGTACGTCTCCGAGCAGGGCTTTGCGTCTTTCTTGGCCGTCTTTGTGTCCTCAGCTCCCACCGCTCGCTTTCCCTCCCGTCCTTGCTTGCCGACAGGCATCTTGCCATTCTTCACCTCCCCTGCGGGGCCCGCCGCCAATTTCTCCTCTGTGGTGCCGACCTTCTCCTCTGTAGGGCCAACTTTATCTTCTGTGGGGCCAACTTTCTCCACTGAAAGGTGGGTCTCCTCCACAGTAGGGCCAACCTTCTCCACGGGGAGGCGTGCAACCTTCTCCGCCCTGAGCCCCACCTCCTCCACCGCAGGACTTGCTGCCACGGGCCAAGGTCTCTTAAAGACATGAGCGGATGTGCCTGGCTCTGTAACACACGCACGCGTACACAAGGACGACCCAAAGTTAACCACCCAGTCAGATTGTCAGAGAGAGAGAGAGCGAGTGCCTCTAAACACATTCCTGCGGAGGGAGTTGGTAGGACCGTTGGGTTGCTCGGTCAATGACCAGGGTCAACGGCGGCGTGGTGTATTCCGCAAATATGGCCGACTGTGAGGGCGGGCACAAGCCGGCGTGAGTAGGTTAAACGTTGAGTTTTATAAGGGCACCACGGGGTGACCAGCCCCTCCCCACCCAGCACCACCCCACCCAGCCCCACCCTCCCCATCCAGCCCCTCCCCACCCTCCCCTCTACACCCAGCCCCACCCCTCCCATTTTTGGGTGCACGACGGACGGACACAATAATCCCCTGTGGGCTGGTGTAACCAGGAGGTTCCTACCAGTAAAACGTGATGTGCTAGGCAGTCTCAGTTAAAACGGTACTTGCCTATACATATCTGGCAGCATTGTCTCACCAGCTTTGTTTCCAGCAAGCCTAACTGATGCTGTGACACAATGTCAAACCGATCCAGAGTTTGCTTGTGTTATACCAATGCTGTTGAAAAATGCACTACTAGAAGGCCGTGTAATCTGATGGGATGTATAAATTAATTTGTTTTAGTGGAGACAAATACGGGAAACAGGCATATCAAATAACTAATTACGTGAATTATATTCACCATAACAATTCTCATCATTGTATCCAGTTTCGTACTGTATATTACAGTACTGTTGCATTGGAGTGTGCCTTTCAGAATTGGCTTGTGATTTTCAGTAGTTTGTATGTATTTAAAACTTATTTCACACCACATGTAGCCAACCGTACTAATTTCAAGCAACATGAAAAGCAATATATTACAAACTATTAATAGGTTAAATTAAGTTGTGGAAAAAAATTAGGATTTTGTAAAGGAAAAGGAATATACCAGGAGAACCCACAACTGGCTTAGCCCAGTAATTTGAGGATGTACTTTTCTAAACAGCGATCACACGTGTCTGAGCAAGTGTACCTTCGAGGGCTTTAGTGCTCTGTGAGCCATTGGATTTCACCCTCTTCAGTTTCTGCAGAAACAGATGGGGATATCACAACAATTATCTCGGAACACACACGCAATTTTTGACTCAAATCTAAAAACATCCCATTTGACTTCAGATTTGTATCTCGATCCTAGCGCTGGTGCTGAGTACTGGTACCACTGCAGGTGACGAAGATGCTGATGATGTCGGTGGAGGTGGTTATGCTGCTGCTAGTGGTGATGTTGATATTTCTGGTGATTAAAGTGGTGGTACTGTTCATATGTTAATGCCCATCCTCCTGTTGCTGCTGCTGATGGAGGTGATGGTGCTGATGATCATGACAGTAGTGGTGCTGCTTATCATGTTGATGCGGATGCTACTGCTGTTGGTCATGACACTGGGATTCGCTGCTGATACCGGTGATGCTGAAGGTAGTTGTGCTAGAGGTACTCGTGATCAGTGGTGGTAGTGCTGATATTCATGACGCTATTGATAATGCAGGTGGTGTTGCTGGTGTTGCTGATGGTACTGGTGCTGGTGGTGCTGGCGTCACCGCCGTGCCTACCCGCTCAATCTTGGCACGTTCTCTACGCTCGAGCATGCGCTCCCTCAGCTGCTTCATCTCCTCTGCGGAGCTGTTCAGCACCACAACATCGTCGTCCTGAAATGTCACGCCACACTGACCATAGCACACCTCATTACGACTATATCATCGTGTTAGCCCTCTCTGCTGTCCTCGTGTTGCACGTGCGTGCCATCGTGCGTGTGTCTCCTTGAGCTCAGCGGTGGGGAACCGTTTGCTTCCCAAGGGCGAAAAAATTACTTCAGCGGGCAACCACACATTAACACATTAATTTAGTGATTGAGCAGTGTTAAAATTAGCAAACAGTTTTGTTGCCAGCTTGAAAATATTTCCCTCTAGTACCCGATTAGTGCAGCTCAGATGCTTGTAACGACGTGCTATTATCATTTGCAGGCCGTAATCATTTGGCTGCGGGCCGAGTGAAGGGTGGTCCTGCGCGATAGGTTCTCCACCACTGCCTTAAAACTCTGTGTCCAAGCGCAGGCCCATGGTGTTGCGTTACCTTGAGGCAGGCGTTGGACTTTATCTCCTTGAGAGCTCGCTCGGAGAAAGTGCAGCCACATCCCCGAATGAACACAAAACTGCAGGTATACCAACACAATTCACACAATGGATTGTCACTCAGTTGAAAAGCAAAGGATCACATTGAATGACAAAAACACATGCCTTATAGACTGTTTGGGGTAAGTGCTGTTAGAGAGCACCTATTCGGGCCGACATGGCACACGAGAGATTGTTGCGGCCAGGACCATGCCCTTCTGTCTGTCTCCCAAGGTCTCACGTTTTACACAATCCACTATATACCCTGTGAAGGCTAAGTCACCTTCACCATCATATATTATTTACACAAGACCTCCCAGGTAGTATAGCTGGACCTAGGGGAGGCCCACAACCGACTCAGTCTACACAACAATGACTCATTCCTGGCAGCGGTTTCAGCCTCACCACCTCTACATAACAAAAGGCTCAGTCCCATTTACACGCACCTTTACAACTCTTGGACCCTCCGAGTTCAACGAGTCTACACAACAAAGGCTCATTCCTAACAGCGTGCTTCAGCCGCACCGAACCTCACAATAATAATATCCAGGGCCTACCTTGGCTCCTCCCACCCTCAACCAGTATATATAAATATATACAAGGACTGTTTTCTTGGAATTTCTCCTACGTGATACAGCTATCGTGCTGTGACGGTTCCACCTGAAGACGGAAGCTTGTGTTGCCTCCTAAACGTCGTGATTTTTATTTTATTTTTATTTTACTTTTATTAATTTGAATTTTTTACCTACGTGACTTTACCGAAACAACCTAAGAGTACGACGCAGGTTGCTGGGTTAATAACTCAGTGCAATGCCCATCATGTCACTGCTCCTTTAGACTCACACACATAAACATGATACTATGGCTCCTGTTGCCATCTGCTGTTAACAGTGGTCACTTTGCCATGATCACGTTCCTATTGCTGCTGTTGTAGATATTGCTGCTGCTGTAGCTATTGTTGTAGCTACTGATGTAGATACTGCTTCTGACACTGCTACTACCGCCGCTGCTATTATTGCTGCTGCTGTGGTTGTGGCACTGACCGGTGGCGCCCGTTCATTTCAAGGCCGATGAGGGGGCAGCAGAAACGTGGGGCGGGAATGTTGGTGGTCTGGCCGCCCTTGCTGTGTGCATGCTCGCCCTGCCACAGCGTGTTCTCCGTCAGGCGCAACTCGGTCAAGTCCTGCAAAGACGTGGGGAAACACGGAGACAAGCAACACAAACCCATAAAACGCCATACAAATGGGGGATATGTGGACATGGTTGGGGCCCACATGAGAACACATGGGGACACATTTCAATAATGCCCCAAACACAAAGGGACAAGTGTAGACATTTTTGATTTAAAGCTTTCGTGACTGCAGGGATTCATATTCTTGGTTCTTTCGGTAAAGTCACGTAGAAGGGAAATAATAAGATAATATTAATATAAAACAATAACAAAATAAATGATTTTTTTTTATATTTATATTATCATTTTATTATTTCCCTTCTACGTGACTTTACCGAAAGAACCAAGAAGAAGTGTAGACATGCCCAGGGACACACGTGGGCACACAGCCACAGCAGGTCATGACGTGCAACACGCATGTGCGTACCTTGAGGGTGCGGATGTGAGCAGAAGCCTCCACAGCTACTTTCTCCGAATTCTTCTCCAGCAAAAACTCGATGACGGCATCCTTGTTATACAGCCTGCACACAAGGATCCCCAAAACACCTTGAATAGACTAATCGGGCAAGTACTTATGTACTTAACCTCCTACGCATTTCACAAGTAGTGCTAATCACATATCTGCATTTCCCATAAATGTGCTAAATTCCTCTTGATATGCAGATTATTTTGTCAAGACGCTCTTCGCCCCTCCATCCAGCATAAATAGTCGCTCCAAGCCTGGAGCGTGCTATTCAGACTCTGTCTACTTGACGGACCTGTTCTCCACCTGAGGACGGCTGCTTGCGTTGTGGCCGAAACGTCGTGAGAATTATTTTATGTTTTATTTTTATTATTGTATTACTTCCCTTCTACGTGACTTTACCGAAAAAACCAAGAAGATGAATCCCTGCAGTCACGAAAGCTTTAAATCGAAATATAAATGTTGTTTAGATGCATATGCCCATACACTGACAAGTGTACGTACACACACACACGTCAGACTGTTTTGTGTTCTCCACTCTTCTGGCTCCCTTACTCTCTGCTTCCCTTTGCTCCCCTCCTCCCCTCCTGCTCACCTGCCGAGTTCACAGGCCACTATAGGCGGACGAAGTGGCTGCTGACTCAGCGCGCAATAAAACCAGCGTGCCGCCAGGTCCGCATCCTTGTCACTCTGCACAACAGAAGACAAGTACGTACACACACGCACGCACGCAGGTACAAACGTGTAAATACATCTGCATAACATTCCTCCACTAATTGTAATATTCTATCTTCATCACTTTAAGAATGGTCTCCTCTGTATTCATTGTTTATGAACAGAATTCTGAACAAAACGATGGCACATTTTGAGGGCAACAAACCGCAGAGCCGAGTATGGTTTAATAAAGGGGTCTCTCGCATTGACGACATACAGACTATCAAATTCTGGAAAAAATTAATTAATATCAAATAGCATTATATGTAGCTTTTGCAGACAATAAAAAAGGCACTTGATTGAGTGCATAAAGATACAATATTGTTAGAAGAGAATTTAAAGACATTTGATCGGGCAGTTATAACATTAATAGTTATTTATTTACCCAAGAAAGTCCAGATTTCCTGCATTTACGAAAGTTTTAAGTCCTACATTGGGATGTTTGGCCAGCACCAATGACATTGTTTTTTTTGCGATGGGGGCAGACACGAAGGAAACTGGCGCAGAACAGGGGAGAACAAAAAACAATAACAAAAAAATATTTATTTATTTTACAAGGTAGGTCAACTTGAGCTATATATTTATTTTTTAGAAGTGTCCTGGCCACAAATGATAGTTCAGTGAAGCTGCTTTTTGCGTGGAAATTCATAGCAGCCAAATACTCTAAACGGATGTTTATAAATATGGAGGGTAAAACCAGAGGCGGGGAAAAATCCACGTAACCAAGGGGAGAACATGTAAACTCCAAATAAACAGGCGTCAGGGTGGCGATCGAACCCATGTCCCTGCATCCTAGGCGAAGGGAGTTAACATTCTAGATTTGAAGCTTTCGTGACTGCAAGGATTCATATTCTTAGGTTTTTTTCGGTAAAGTCACGTAGGTAAAACATTAAAATTAATAAAAGTAAAATATTTTTTTTTACTTGATACAGCTGTCGTGGCTGTGACGGTTCCACCTGAAGACGGAAGCTTGTGTTGCCTCGGAAACGTCGTGATTTTTATTTTTATTTTATTTTACTTTTATTAATTTTTATGTTTTACCTACGTGACTTTACCGAAAAAACCTAAGAATATGGGAGGTAACATCTCGCCACTGTCGTGCCTCGTACCAAACACATAGAAGTGCCCAAGTTGTGCCACAAGTGTTACCACTATGCCATCGTGACAGCCTCATGAGACGGGTGAGCCATGGATTCAGACACCAGTGAGGAGAGTCATCATCGGGAGTAATCCCACTCCCTACCTGTGCCTTCTTCTTAGGCCCCTTCACCAGCTCGTGTCTCTTGGGAATGGTTCCTCCATCGCATCCCATCGTGACTTTTCACTCCGTGGCAGCAGCCAAAGGCAAACTAATCGCCCTCGTCCTAAATTCCTGTGAATCGGTGCGTTGATTAAATGGATCATACCGTATAAAGTTTATACATCATTTGATACGTACATGGTTTTCAAAGATTTAAGTTAGAAAAATTAGTCTGGCAAGAGCGGTGGCGCAGTGATTAGCATAACGCATAACGAAACTGATAACCCGAGCGCAATTTATGGCCATGGCTGGCGTCAGTGGCGATTAGGACTCGGCAAGGTAAGGTAAAAACAACGAGCCTACCTTTACTCTACCTTTTACCTTACAATACAATCACTCTACCCTACCTTTTACCCTTTAGCAGGTAAGGTAATAAGTATAACCCGTAAAAACAAAGTTTTTCACTCTAAATCCTTTATATGCGTGGCGGCTAGAGTCCTCTCGTCCTCTGGCTTGAGATGGCTGCCACCTATGGGTCAGATGATTGTCTGCAGTATTAAACAATTAGTAATTAAATATTTAATGTTTTCCCTAAACAGTGTAAAATTTTGGAAACTTTTTTTTCACGAACATTAATTGTCTCGCACAACGAGTCTGTGTGCAAAATGTCAGCTCGATTGGATCACGGGAAGTGGGTTAAAAAACGACCGAAAGGTTTGCACGGTCGTAAGCAAGCAAGCAAGCACGCAAGCAAGCAAGCAAGCGAACTTAATATAAAGGATTTAAAAACCAACTAGACTACCTTTACCCTACCTTTCACCCTTACCCCATACAAATTACCCGATTACAGGGAAATTACTGGGATACTACATGTGAAAAAGGTTTATAACGGTAAATGCTGGGTAGAGCGCTTTATGCATATAGAATACTCTCGATTATTCCAATTTTACACGCTTGTTGTTGTTGTCGTTGTATCCTCAAATCTTGTAACTCAATTTTAATCCACTTCCCAATGTGGTATCGACTGCAAACTTGGTATACTCATGTCATACTGATGACAATACTATATTATATCATAAAAAATAAAATGTATTTTTAAACATTCTTTTTTTATGTTATGTTTCGGCTTGGGTCTAATTGTCCACCGTCAACTGACGTTGGCTGTAATTGGCCACGGTCCCTTACGTTATGGAAAGCCTCGGGACCACTTCCTGGAGTCGTGGAGTTCTGCCATTACTCGTACATTTCATAAAAGCGTGTTTTTAATAAAGTATTTTAAAAATTACTTATTAATTCGAGGCCACGGACTGCGCCACGGAGCTTGTAGCAGTAAACAAGGCGCCGTATTTACCGGGTAATACTTCGCGCTACCTTTACCCTACCCTTTACCTTACCCCTTGGCATGTCGACACCTTTACCTTTAAGGGTAAATTACCTTACCTTGCCGTGGCCTAAGTGGCGAGTGATACGAGAAGATATCCCAAGGCGCCACCAACTGCTCCCCAACCCTTTCAATAACCCGCACTGATCGTGAATTATAGTCAAACAACCCCCGTAACCTACACAACGTAAAACAGCCTGAATCCAGCAGTGGTTTACCAGAAGGGATGTGAATGTGTATATAAACAAAACGCAGTAAGCGTTACAGAATTTAAATGTACACTGCGCAGTGTAAACACAAACCTCCTGACTACACAATCGAGCAAAATGAGCCACGCGCTCATCTGCGTTGGTCACCCTGAGACAGTGGTGGAAATTCCACGTTTCCATGACGGAAGCAAGTTTGTGTGTATGACAACCACTGTTGGTTGACTTCCTAAAGTGTGAATTGTAACACAGTCACGGGACGCCAATGATGTGGCCTATAAGAGCTTATTTGGCCCTTTAAGATTCAATGATTACAATATATTTACTCTATCTACTCTTGAGCGATGGTAGGCTAGCGCGGCGATACAATAGAACGTATGAACACCACAGTTATAATGTTATCACAGACTTTAATTATGTAACTCTCGTGTTTTTAGTGTAATTTACCAGTTTAGCGAAACGCCTCGCCTAGCGTGCAGGCCTAACGCCAAGTCTAACGCCAATAAAACAAAGTTTAGATTTAAAAGTTCAGTCTTCGTCTACACGTTCCCAACAACGTATTCCAATCTACAACCGTGTTATTTAAAAAGGGACTGTGCTCGTTTTTAAAATACGAGTTTAACTGCTGCGCGTACACAGGAAATCTGCGTACTTACCAACAATGGCAACCTTCTTCCTCTTCCGGAAGATGTCGCGTCTTCTGATTCTAAACCGAACGGACGGAAGACGTTCATCCAATTGACTTCCAGGTTCGGAAGAACCCCACCGAGTCTTCTGGAAGATGCCACCGCTTCTGGTTTCCCAACTGAACGGACGGAAGAAGTTCATCGCATTGACTTCCAGGTTCGGAAGAGCCCCACCGAGTCTTCTGGAAGATGCCACCGCTTCTGGTTTCCCAACTGAACAGACGGAAGACATCCATCTAATTGACTTTCAGGTTCGAAAATGCCCCACCGAGTCTTCTGGAAGATGCCACCGCTTCTGGTTTCCCAACTGAACGGACGGAAGACGTTCATCGCATTGACTTCCAGGTTCGGAAGAGTCCCACCGAGTCTTCTGGAAGATTCCACCGCTTCTGTTTTCCCAACTGAACGGACGGAAGACATTCATCACATTGACTTCCAGGTTCGGAAGAGCCTCACCGAGTCTTCTGGAAGATTCCACCGCTTCTGTTTTCCCAACTGAACGGACGGAAGACTTTCATCACATTGACTTCCAGGTTCGGAAGAGCACCACCGAGTCTTCTGGAAGATTCCACCGCTTCTGGTTTTCCAACTGAACGGACGGAAGACAATCATACAATTGACTTCCAGGTTCAGAAGAGCTCCACCGAGTCTTCTGGAAGATGCCACCGCTTCTGGTTTCCCAACTGAACGGACGGAAGACGTTCATCGCATTGACTTCCAGGTTCGGAAGAGCCCCACCGAGTCTTCTGGAAGATTCCAGCGCTTCTGGTTTCCCAACTGAACGGACGGAAGACATTCATCACATTGACTTCCAGGTTCGGAAGAGCCTCACCGAGTCTTCTGGAAGATGCCACCGCTTCTGGTTTCCCAACTGAACGGACGGAAGACATTCATACAATTGACTTCGAAGTTCGGAATTGCCTCACCGAATCTTCTGGAAGATGCCACCGCCTCTGGTTTCCCAACTGAACAGACGGAAGACAATCATACAATTTACTTCCGAGTTCGGAATAGCCTCACCGAATCTTCTGGAACATCCTCAGAATTTTCATTTATTCTGCACAAATCCGATGAGCGCTGAAGCATTTTCTTTCTCACAGATGTTCAGTAGTTTCACACATGTCGTTGTATTTTGTAAATATATTTCAGGTCCGAAATAAACTCCCCAAAATGTTTCCAGATTTTGTAGACCCTTCAGAAATTGTCTCATATCCACGTAAAAAGTATGGATTATAGGATTTTTTTTAATTAACATACGCTAGCCTCAACGTTGCATGTTTACTGGCTCAACACAAGCACACAACAGCATCAACAACTTCGTTCTGTTATTCTTTGGTTCTTTCGGTAAAGTCACATATAAAGAAAAAATAATAAATTAAATAATAGCATACGACGTTTCGATTGCAACACAAGCAAGCATCATCAGGTATAATGAAATAGCGACATAAAATCTAACCAGAAAAAATTATAGACAGACATATAAGCAGACAGATATCACCAAGATACACAGAGCAGGCAACACAGGTACAGAGAGGGGTGATCGTCTCTGTGGGGTGGCCTTAAATAGACAGAGGGGGGCGGAGGCAGCGAGAGGGAGGGGTTAGAGACAAAATTTACATGTCAATGAGTACAACTTCGTTCACGTAGGTAGCTATGTTTAGTCCATCAACCTATTGACATTCCACAACAATATTTTAATCAGCAGCAGCATTTGTTTAAGCAAACACAACTTTGGACGGATGTCAACCGTTTGAGTCTCATCAGCGTCAATGTCTAACGTGTTAAGCGAAATGCAATTGGGTTATCAGATGTTTATTGGCCAGCACTCCCACAAAGTGCAGCATGACATTTTTTTAAATCGAAAACTAATTTCTTTAGAACTGCTTTTGTGTTTAGTTTGTTGTCCTTCTCCGCACCTCCGATTAGCAAGGTTGGCTTTTGTACTGCGCGAAAGAAATTCAACATACATACATAAATCCCCTAGACACCTTTGCGAACGAAATTTTCCACCTCAAGGGATTATTAGTCAGGTTCATGAAATATTCGAATTACAGTCCGTAATTAAATTGTGTTGCTCCATTTGCCTTGCTGCTCGGGTAAAGGGCCCCCTCTATCGGTGAGAATTTTGTATTATCTTCTTGGTTCTTTCGGTAAAGTCACGTAGAAGGGAAGCAACGAAATAATACAAATAAAACATAATAAAATAATTTTCACGACGTTTCGGCCACAACGCAAGCAGCCGTCCTCAGGTGAAGACTAGGTCTGTCATTCAGACGCTGTCTCCCCGACAGACCTGGTCTTCACCTGAGGACGGCTGCTTGCGTTGTGGCCGAAACGTCGTGAGAATTATTTTATTGTTTTATTTTTATTATTTTATTACTTCCCTTCTACGTGACTTTACCGAAAGAACCAAGAAGATGAATCCCTGTAGTCACGAAAGCTTTAAATCGAAATTTTGTATTAATTTATGCAGTGAAGAATTCTCTGACACCTAGCGCTGTTTATGGCCAAGGTGTCACGAGGGATATATTTGTTTTAATAAGACGAAAAAAAGGTGCAGCTATGAAATGTCTTGCTCTAATGAAGCCGTCATACAGGGTGTTCTTAGACTACTTTAACCAAGCTTACCCTCAACTCTTATTAGCACGGTTGGTCACGTGCTTTGCGAAAGAAGTGAATAATGGTGGGTTATTAAACCAAAATAATATCAGCTCTTTCTAGATTTGAAGCTTTCGTGACTGCAAAAAATATATAATTAAAAGATTTGAAGCTTTCGTGACTGCAAGGATTCATATTCTTAGGTTTTTTTCCGGTAAAGTCACGTAGGTAAAACATCAAAATTAATAAAAATAAAACAATAAAATCACGACGGTTCGGAGGCAACACAAGTCTCCGTCATCAGGTGGGACCGTCACAGCCAGATGCAGCTAATCTGGCTGTGACGGTCCCACCTGATGACGGAGACTTGTGTTGCCTCCGAAACGTCGTGATTTATTATTTTATTTTATTTCCATTATTACTTTTATTAACTTTTAATGCTAATTTTTTTTTACCTACTTGACTTTACCGAAAAAAACTAATAGTATATCAGCTCTCAATCCACTCCTGGATGGGTCCCCCCACACACACCGTGTCAATAATGGAGATTGTTTGGCCACACTTCGCCGTGCTGGTCCGTGCGGATTGGTGATCGGTGCACGAAAGATCGTTCAGACATCACTGGCCAGTGATGATAACAACAACAACAACAACAACGACGTCCTTTATCTTCTTGGTTCTTTCGGTAAAGTCACGTAGAATGGAAATAATAAAATAATAAAAATAAAACATAAAAAAATTATTCTCACGACGTTTCGGCCACAACGCAAGCAGCCGTCCTCAGGTGAAGACCAGGTTTGTCGGGGAGACAGCGTCTGAATGAAACACCACCACGCTTGGAGCGTATATTTAAGCTGCTGGGTTCATTCAGACGCTGTCTCCCCGACAGACCTGGTCTTCACCTAAGGACGGCTGCTTGCGTTGTGGCCGAAACGTCGTGAGAATTATTTTATTATCTTTTATTTTTATTATTTTATTATTTCCATTCTACGTGACTTTACCGAAAGAACCAAGAAGATGAATCCCTGCAGTCACGAAAGCTTTAAATCGAAATTTAACGTCCTTTATACCCAGGAACGCGTCTCCCGAGTCTCATGACAGGGACTTGCATTGGGATGTTTGGTCAATTCCGTTGCTGAGAGTTTGGTTTCGTGTGATAGTATGCAGAACACCACCATGGATTTGAAGGTATAACCACACTAGAAAAAATTCCGCACCAATTGATTAAAGAATCAATTGATTCAATAATCAATTCAATAATCAATTGATTCAATAATTATATTATCCATTCTATTTGGTTCTTTCGGTAAAGTCACGAAGGTAGAACATTTAAATAAAAAAAAGACATTTCATTTTTTAATAAAAATTTTCTACCTACGTGATTTTACGGAAAGAACCAAAGAGTGGATTCCTGCAGTCACGAAAGCTTCAAATCAATAATTAATTATATCAATCGCTGTGCAGCACTGCAGCCCTCTACTGGCGCTGAAGAATTTGCAGCATTTAACGATCACGCGACTGTGTTTAAAAACTAAGATATTTTTTGTCATAATATAGGTCTTTTGGGTTAGATGGCGTAAATACAAATGTGTCGTTAAACCCGCCACCACCCGGCACAAGCCAATTAGTAAGGTGTGTCACCTATAGGGGCCGTCCATAAATGACGTCACGCGATTTTGGAAGATTTTTGACCCCCCCCGTCGTCACGCGGCGTCACAAAAAGTCAGACCCCCCCCCACCTCAAATATGACGTCACAAAGCTCTGCCCCCCCCCCCCCAAAAAATAAAACATTCTTCAAATCGCTTCAAACTATTGTCATTGTAGTACGTATTTAATGTGGCGCTGCACTCTGATATTGTAGGAGAAAACATTTATTAAAAAGTCGATTGAATTAAGTAGAACGTGTTTGTCTATATTCATTTAAAGTTGCGCATTTTGATGTGACGTCACATTTCTCACCACCCCCCTCGTCACACATCGTCACAAATGTCTGACCCCCCCTCTAGGTGCGTGACGTCATTTATGGGAGGGCCCCTTAAACAGACGAAACACTTCGCTGTGCAGAACTTTAACAAACACTGCCATTCTCTTTAGACGCGTCACACCGGCCACCAATGCGACAAACTGCACAAATAAACAGAACTATCAGGGCAACCGGTCACATTTAAAACAAATGACACACACTTTTTTTGGTATGTGCTCAACAAATATACTGAGAGTTTAATTCAACGGAGTTAATTTCATAGCTCACACTGACCGACGCGTTTGGAATTCATAGTGCTGATAAGCGCGTACGGTAAAGTGAATACAATAAAGTACATTCCGTGAGGCGATTTAAGATAACTTTTTAGCTTATCTTGAGGACATTTATTGTACGATAATGCGGATTGTACCACAATTGACTTCACTGCGTTATAAAGTGTGTAATATTGCATTTTATAAAGGTACACAGACCGACATTAGATTCCGTAGCGCTAATAGGGAATGGACACCACATTTCGTAGTGTGCATACACAGAGGTTAAGTGTGCAAACGGCATTACAATTGGTAACACTGATAGGTAATCGACATTACATTCTGTAGCTCACATAAGCCCGAAGACCATTTTTATGGATTTTTTTTAACACATTCCAATGTTAATTTGTAGACACGAACTAGGGACAATTGCAAGTTGACAAATATGCAAGTTACAACGCACAAAGGGAATTGCATAATATTACAAAGTACATCATTTGGTATTTAGATTTACAATTCATAAGACGAACACGCATTCAGCATTGGATTTTATAGAGATTATACAGAAATGGCACTTTAATACTGCAAAACATTTTCTCCAATGTTGAGCAAACCACTGTCCAGAGCCCACTTACAAATGTTTCACACAGTACCAAGATGTACTAAATTGCTACAGCGCACGTTAAACACAATATGCACCTCCAGACATTTTCCATCCACTGCTCCATTACAAAGCAATTGTCCATTGGTGATATATTGCTCAACCTCCGCTGCCTCCTTCAAGTGTCAACTACGAGGTCCACCTTCACAGACACTCCACCTTTCACTGCCATGTTCCCACCATAAACGCTCCCCTCGGTTCATCTTCGCTGTGCGATGGACACCACGACTCGAGTTCCCCCTTCTGCGATCCACATCTCTCATTTACGCACTCCACCCACGACTTGAAGCCTTGCATCTCCATTCCGCGCGTCTCATCTGCGCAGGCAGTGTCTTCAGATGCACACCTGACATCAAGTCACATTTAAATCTCAAGATTCTGGTTTCATTTCACACTTCAAATGTTCGTGCCCAAAGTGGCGTCCCTCTCAAATCACGTTCCAGGTTCTCGTATAAAAATGTCACACCTCAAAAAGAAGTCTTCCCCCTCCATCCCAGGTCATAAAACTTCATGCCCAAGTCAAACACCTTAAGCCCTCTTCATGGCATCTAAAATTTCACGCCCCAGATTGTGGTCGCGAATCCATGTTTTGCATTCTTGTCCACTTTGTTTGTCATTCATTCCAGTGTCGCTCGATTAGAATTGTACTGTTATTCCAGGAAATTCGTTTTCCTTATTACGTCCACTCAATTTTTGGCTATGGCCAAAACAAACACGATCGCCACCTTCCAGGTTGGTGCAATCACACTCAGCTCCATTCCATGACCTCCTTGAATAGCGATTCTTGAACCTCACCGATCGCACGCCACACCGCATTTGGGCGAATTGATGGCATTCGTTGCATTTCATGAAATCGGATGGGCGCCTACGTTTCAGTGATAGTAGAGACGACAAAAACAGGTGAACGAGTCACATTTGAAGGATATAGCATAACTACACTATCGATACAAGGCAGACCAGACACCACATATTCTCAAGCAGTTATGTATATTAGGTAATGCCCACGCCACGTTTAATGGGAAAACTTGAATGAGAAACTTAGCATAGATTTACTGAAAAAACCCAAACGCAATTCACGTGCGCAGTGCTTTTGGATAATAATGCACCAACAATAACACTGCAGCTCTTCTTATCCGTGGTCCTATTATCCACGACTCGTATTATCTGCACGAGTCCACAAAAACCTCATCATCCGCAACCATTTCCTACAAATAATTCTGGATAACACCGCGACTAATAGGATCCATGATATTGGTCCATCACAGAATCATGGATAAGAGAACTTTCCCTGGACCGTCTTGCGAGTCACCAAAATTGGATAGTGATTTACAAGAGGTCAGCCAATGGCCATAAAGGGTTTTGGTCACATGCTACCTGGCTATACTCAACTATTTTATAGAACAAAAGTCCCAAAGTAACCGTTAGCAAAATTAACTCAATTTCCCCACTATCTTGAACAGTCACTGCCAAGTTTGATTTTTTTCCTATTATTAGTTTGAAAATAGGCTTGGTGGTAAACAGCTGATGCAAATTGCTTGAGGAAGGTTTGTCTATATTGATGGAATGTTTAGGGCGAGGATTTTTCTCTGGTGGAAGAGAGCCTGTAACGCCACGTAAAATAGATATATGCTGCATATATTTACATGCTGTGTTGTATACATAACACATGCTACGTGTGGGTTTATAATACAGTTGCAACTCGAGACAAATATATTGCACCATTGACTTTAAGGTGGAAATTCGTTCCTCTTGAATTGTGACTTAATCTCCCAAGTCACGTGTAGTCTTTGCAAGGGATTATTTAACCAAGCCATGTCCGATTGCTGCAAATACATAAATACGGATAATCAAATTTGCCAAGCCAAAAAACAAATTAAAACGTACCATAACCCAAGCTAGCAAGCCTTGGGTTGGTGCATCAGTTGAGACTTCTAGGATTTAGGAGATGCAGATTCCGAGTCTTAGGAAGAGTTATGGTGCAGACTTGTGTATTGATTTATGCCACTTCTGCTGAAAATTTTAAACAAAAAAACTTGAGATTAATATGTCATTGCTTTTAGGTCCAATTGATATTCTTGGTTTGTTTAAAAATTGTTGATTGACTTTTCCCCCTTTCAAGACAAATTCTGCACCACGCAATAAGACGATCAACCAACGCGATGACAAACAAAATGTTGAAGCTGTAAGTAGCAAATAAAAACGGTTTTAAATTAGTTCCCAAAGGAAAATATAAATATACAAATAAATAAGTAAAAAATACAAATGTCAAAATCAGCGCAACTGCAATTAACATTGATATTGTAATAATAAAGCATCACAAGGGTGGTAATAATTCAAAAAACATAAAGTTGGTTTCAATAAAAAAGCGGTAATGTAAACATATAAAATGGTATTGAATAAATGCAGATGTCAGTTAAACTGCAGCACCATTCAACATGGGGAACAGGCAACACAAAACAACTCCCGCACAAGCGACAAACTATACCGAGGCACATTTGCAGCAGTTCTCAATCTTCAAGCAAACACCTGAAGCATTTAAAGTCTCGCGCTGCGTGGCCACCCGAATTAATCTTCACAAATTGGACACAGCGTTTCCCACCAAAACAAACATCCATGGCCGCACTAACGCGTTCTCAAATTTGAGCGATTGCTACACACGGGCAAAGAAAAAAAACCCACATGCACCCCCCCCCCCTTATTTCCGCAACAATTTTTTTTATTTTTTTGCCCTTTTTTACGAGCGACGATAACCACTTCAGTTAACCGTAATAATTCTAAACGGCCGTAATATTAATATGTAAAAAAACGTAAGAAACTTTTTTTTCGTAAAATAAAAAACTCAAAAATAGTGGGGCACTCGCAATAAGTAGGCCACGTGACCTCGTGCAAATTTCATTTGTTTTTGCACTGTAGGGCAAACCAAATACTAAAAAAAAATGTTAACGTAAATAAAAGATTTTACAAAAACAACTATTTGTACAAACCCCCGTGGCCAAAACTTAGACATTATTTCACATGTCTCCAACCAGCACAGACTTTGTTGCACTGTAGCGCCCACACAAATAAACCCTGAAAAGCAAAAATATTTGTACAAAAACTTAAACGATCACAGCAGAGATTTTCTCAAATGTTCAAGACATTTTCTCCATTGAGCACAATACAAGGACCATTTTGTTCTGCGGGGCTTTTACGATCCTAGAAACGAAAAACGGACGTAAAAATGGCCGTGTTGAAACGTTTACATGCCGTCTTCCACTGCGTGTTGTTCGGTGCAGTGTCTGACGTTTTGTTTCGAGGAATGTCTGCCGCACGTGGAGACGACACGTCAGACATCGTGCCCTACAACACAAGGTACGACTCGAACAAACCAGGGAGAGTTGTAGCGGCACAACCGCAAAATTCTACGCAGTTTAAATCTTGACGATGCTGCTCGTGGTGGTAGTGGTGTTGGCATAGTGCTGTCCGCTGGCCAGTTTGGCATCGCTGGTTATTGTTGTTGTGGTTGTTGTGGCTGTTGTGGCAGGGTTGATGTCAGGGCTCGACCTCGAATTTCCTCGTCACCGTGAACCCTCTTCTCTTCTTCTGCTCCAAACGCATCTTCTGCCTTAGCGGCCCCAGCTCTGCAACGCACGGCAACGATGGCAATTGACAATACATCATCGACGTGTTGTTTGTGCACGTGTGTGGGGGTTACACCGATGCTAATGTGACATGCCCTGGTAAAGGGTGCTATACAAATCCTAAATTAGAATCTGTTTGTTCATGTAAGAGTGCTATGGGTGGGTGGAGCCTATATTTATTAATCGTTTCTACAAAAAACATAGTTTTGTAATCTGTATCAGGATTAGTCTGTCGGAGCTGCAGGGAATTTAATATTTAGCTTCGATTTTACAGTGATTTATATTTGAGCAATACTTTCCATGCCTCGTAGGAATGCAAATTTTATTCCCCGATTGCTATTTACCTAATTGCGCCGCTTGGTTTTGACTTTCTTCATTTAGGGGACGTTGGTTACCGCCTGGTCTGTCGAACTCTCACTTGGCTTGAACTTAATAATCTTGAAACTTAAAACACGCGCGCATGTCGAGGCGCGGTTCAATTCAGATGCCTCTATATACGACCGAATTATAAAAGTGCACGCGTGTGGTTCATGTTAATGATTGTGTGGACGTGTGAAAGTTGAAACCGATGCGGTAACGGTGCCCTCAGATTACACATTTAAAATGTATCGTAATGTTGATAATGATCAACGTATTCATGATAAATGCCAAATAGTATTACTATTTCGCAAGCAGGCTGACATACAACCCAATACAGCGTGTTGTCAATGTATAAATGCATTGGCGATTATTGTTCATCAAGCGCTGTCGAGGACACGCGTGTTAATGCGTCGGTTATATAATACCAGCAGTGATTAAATGGAAACGCAATAACGGTGACAACGATGGAAATCTACCGATCGTATCAACGATTACAATTGCATCAAACGCGGGCGACGTCATCGATGACGAGGATGATGACGAGGATGATGACGAGGATGATGACGAGGATGATGACGAGGATGATGACGAGGATGATGACGAGGATGATGACGAGGATGATGACGAGGATGATGACGAGGATGATGACGAGGATGATGACGAGGATGATGACGACGACGATGACGATGACCATTGTCAATGATCCTCACCGTCCCCGGGGCAAAACCTGGGCTGCACGAGGCAGCGCTGAGCCTGCTCGAGTGGCGGGCAGTGCTGCCCTTGGGGGGAGGGGGCCCTGGTCACACCACGTCTCCTCTCCTGGGCCCCCCACTTGAAGCCGCACGTCTTCCCCCTCCGTTCGCACGCGGACCATGCTCCCCACGTGGACACCTCGCAGTCCACTGCGGGTTCAAGCAGCAGCAGCAGTAGCAGCATTATCGTCCTCGCCAAACCACCAAGACGACCACCACCGGCATCATTCACATTAACCTCAGAAGCATCCATCACCATCAGCGTCAGCAGTGGCATGACCACGAGTATAATAATAATCATCATCATCATAACCATCAGAATCAGGCTCAGCAGCATATCGTAGAGTAGCAGCATCCACTGAATTGCTGTCATCCTCAGAATAAACCAGCAACATCATCGAGTAGCACACCAAGTGCATCACCAGCACAACAATCACGAATTTCACCTACACCAAGGCAGCAATCCAATTTCGACCACGCGCAGAGAGCACCTCCGCAGCGACTAAATTTAAATATAGCGTGCATCATTTCAGGGTTACTCACGTCCCCCTCATGCCCCCCTGCCCCCCCGCCCCCACCAGTGCCCCCCCCGCCCCCACAAGTGCTCAGAGTCGTGTCCCCCTCCCACTACACCTTTCCACACCCACAATTTCCCCATACTACATGTGGCCAGGTCGTGTCAGATGTCCGTTCAGTAATAAAATCATAAACAAGCAAGAGTCTCTCTCAGCATGAAATGACAACAGCATTCCACTCCCACAGTCGATGCACCTTCTGGACCAATATTTTCCAGCAGAGCTTGCAGTTTAGGCGATAAACTTTGGACCAGTGGTGGGTTTTTCTTTTTCAGACGGGCCACACACACTGCTGATGACACTCTCGTCACGTTAGAAACCAGCCCAGGGATTGCTAATGGGAAAAAAAAAACAACTTTGGTCCAAGAGAATCTTAATTCTTTTCGGAGCCAAAAGTCAACTTTTTTTTCATACGGCAGAAACTGACCCTTGCCCCCTTTATGATTTTATTACGGACGCTGCCGGCCCGCGTGTGGGGACACGGCAAGGATGACGGCAATGCAGGCAACAAGAGCAAACTCCACGAACCAGCTGCGGCTGTGAAGACGCGAGGGCGTTTGTCGAAGTTGGCGATGCCACCGCTGGTGGTGGAGCGGTTCGCGCGCCGCGCTCGGAACCAGCGACCAGATTGAGATTCCCACCTCGCGGCCAAAACCAGTGACGATTTTCTGGACCCGTCCAGGGCCTCCCCTAGGTCGACTCGGCCTCAAATGTGTACCTGGTGCAGTGTGTGAACATTGCCCCTAGGGATACAAAAGACGGCTGGGCGTGGGGGTGCCGACCACCCACCACGTTCGGTCTTCAAAAAAGGTGCTCGCTAACAGCACTTGCCCCAACAGTCTGTTGAGGCTATACGGGGGATATTTGTCTTTATCTTTGGTAGTAGCAATAGGGAGGGGTGCCCTACCAACTTTTTTCCCTAGGTCATGGCCAACTTCTGTGGGTAGTGACATCTCAACCAGTTCTGGGCCTCCCTTGGGTCAACTCAGCCTTAAAATTACAACCTGGTACGGGATGCGAACATCAGCACTGGCGAGCCAAAGGTCACTGGCCGGGCATGGCACCGACCACACCACTTTTTGGTGTGCCTCACCGGCATCAATAGATCTTCGCTAAACCGCACTTGTACCCAACGGCCTATAATATGGCTATATGGTGAACAATTGCCTTGGGTGGTGGCGGTGGTGATGTTTATGGTTTTGTTAACGTGGTCAAACAGACCCTTGTCTGTTTATTATTTTATTATCCACAATATTCCACAAACGACACCCCCCCCCCCCAGCGTGTCTCCAGTATACCAGCGGGCAGACCTGGTTGTGGCTGTGCCCCCCCCCCCTTCACTGCAGTAGTTGGGTCCCCGTGTCGCGACCCGTACGAGCAGGCAGGCCGGTCCACATGCATCGTGTCCCCCCCCATGTCTTCCTCTCTCGTCATTCCATATGGTTGAATGTATGCAAGTTGAAAATGCATTTGGTTTAAACACTTTGCCTTTCGCGACTAATATAATTCATAATTTAAAGTTTTTGGGTTAGGTGGCGTACGTAGCCAAACCATGATAATCAGAGATGGTAGCGCGCGTTCCTCTCGTCCCAATGACCTCCCCATGTCCATATCCCCCATTCCCCCCCCGCCCCCCCCACCCAGCGTACCTGTGGGGAGACAGTCCTGCGTGCGGTTGTCGCCCTCGTGTCCGCTGGGACAGCCGCTCCCGCAGCGGCCACGGTGCAGGAAGTGTCCGCGTGAGCAGCGCGTGCAGAACGAGTGGCCGAAGCAGCTGTCGCAGTGCGGGACCTGGCAGCCTGCGTGGACAGTGGGCGAGTGTTAGCGAGCGCCTAGTAAGGTCAGCATGGCGAGCGGGCGTGTCGGCAAGCGCCTAGCGAGGCCTGCACGGCAGGCCGACAAGTATAGAGCGCGCTTGCCGAGGTCGGCCAACAGCAGCTGGCAGCGCCGAGGAGCTACTGGGTGAAGTTCAGGTGAGTGCAGTGGGGACCGCAAGGTCATGTCGGTTAAAGGTCAGGGCTCGCAGTTCAGCGAGGTCATCTTCTTGGTTCTTTCGGTAAAGTCACGTAGAAGGGAAATAATAAAATAATAAAAATAAAACATGATAAAATAATTCTCACGACGTTTCGGCCACAACGCAAGCAGCCGCCCTCAGGTGAAGAACAGGTCTGTCGGAAAGACTTATTTTATTACGTTTTATTTTTATTATTTTATTATCTCCCTTCTACGTGACTTTACCGAAAGAACCAAGAAGATGAATCCCTGCAGTCACGAAAGCTTTAAGTCGAAGTTCAGCGAGGATTTGGTGAGCACGGGTCACCAAAGACAAGTGAGAGGTTAGTGGAGGCAGGGCGGTGTAAATCAAGCTCGTGGAGACCAGTACAGGACATTGCAGTGCAGCCAAGGGTATGCGAATTCAGTGAAGGCCGCCAGGTCAATGTAGCACACTGCAATGGGACGCATCTCGAGGAGGGGGGGGGGGGGGGCAACATGTCTGGAGGAAGAGGGGAGGGGGGGGGACGTGCGTCTCAGAGGAGTGTGGGTGGTGTCGTATCTCGAGGAGTGTTGGCGGGGTCGTATCTCGAGGAGCGTGGGTGGGGTCGTATCTCGAGGAGTGTGGGGGGGGGGGCAACACGTCTGGAGGAAGAGGGGGGGACGTGAGTCTCAGAGGAGTGTGGGAGGGGTCGTATCTCGAGGAGTGTGGGTGGGGTCGTATCTCGAGGAGTGTGGGTGGGCTCGTATCTCGAGGAGTGCGGGTGGGCTCGTATCTCGAGGAGTGTGGGTGGGGTCGTATCTCGAGGAGTTTGGGTGGGGTCGTATCTCGAGTAGTGTGGGTGGGCTCGTATCTCGAGGAGCGTGGGGAGGGGGAGAGGACGTGCATCTCAGAGGAGTTCTGGAGGGGTCGTATCTCGAGGAGTGTGGTTGTATCTCGAGGAGTGTGGGTGGGCGCGCTGCTCACGCATGCAGCGGTGCGCGATGGCGCTGCGCTGTCCGTAGTGTCCGGCGGGGCAGGCGAGGAGGCACTGGCCCAGGTGGCGCATGCCCACGCGCTGCAGGTGGAAGAAGAGGCGCGGCGCGCACAGCAGGCAGCCGTTGGCGGCCGAGCAGACGGAGCAGCCCCGCGGGCACGAGAGCAGCGGCCTCCCCGCCGACAGACCTGGTCACAGCAGCAGCCGGGGCAGGGCAAAGACAAAGACACACCGCCACCCCGATTTAAAGCTTTCGTGACTGCAGGGATTCATCTTCTTGGTTCTTTCTTTCGGTAAAGTCACGTCGAAGGGAAGTAATGCAATGATAAAAATATAAACGTAATAAAATAATTCTCAACGACCGTTTCCGGCCACAACGCAAGCAGCCATCCCTCGGGTGAAGACCAGGTCTGTCGGGGAGACAGCGTCTGAATGAACCCAGCAGCTTAAATATACGCTCCAAGCGTGGTGGTGTTTCATTCAGACGCTGTCTCCCCGACAGACCTGGTCTTCACCTGAGGGACGGCTGCTTGCGTTGTGGCCGAAACGTCGTGAGAATTATTTTATTATGTTTTATTTTTATTATTTTATTACTTCCCTGCTACGTGACTTTACCGAAAGAACCAAGAAGATACACCCCCCCCCCCCCCCGTATAGCTGCAACAGACTGTAGGGGCAAGTGCTGTTAGCGAGCACCTATGAAGGTCGGAACGGTAAACGAGGGGGTGGGTTGCCAGCACCACGCCCGACCGCCTTTGTCTCCCCAGTGGCGATGCTTACACACCGCACCAGGTACTCATTTGAGGCCGAGTCGACCTAGGGGAGGCCCAGGACCGGTTCAGATAATCGTCACCTGGTGTTGACCGTGAGCGGGAATCGAAGCCGGGTCGCAAGGTTCGTAGCTCAGCGCGCTAACCGCTGCACCACCACTCCAGGACACACACGGTCACACGTGCGGTGGGGGCGATGGGTCTTCCACACGGCCATGGGAAATCACACGTGGTGGGGGGGGGGGGGATTGGTCACGTGCAAGTGATGCAACCGGTAGGTTAGATTCCCACGTGGTCACCGATGGATTAAAGATCACATCACCGCATCTACATAGAACTGCGATTCCAAAGCCTCACTCTACAAGAGCCCAAACTACGAAAACATAATTATAAAAATCAAAGTGACGGTTCTTGTTGTACAAGCTCCGGGCATGAAGAGTGAACTAAATAAACGGTGCGTGCCTTAGCCTGGCTCTACGAGCCTCCGACAAGAACTGTGAACCCCTATCAGTGCTAAGAATGCCTTGGCCTACACATCTCAGGCATTAATGCAAAGCCACACAGATCGAAGAGTGACAAGGATTTGTTTACGAGGATTCCAGTCACAGGCATTAACGTCGAGAACATTAACAACACAAAAAACTGGCTTGATTTAGCTCGAAGCCTCGTATATCAACACCGAAGCTTTTTTAGGCTTCTTCAGACTGCCAAAGAGCCTCGGGTATCAGCAGCGAGCGGTACACGACTCGTACGAGTGCCTGGCTCTAGGAACCTGGGGGCTTGTGAGACAGACCCACAAGGATTGTTGCGGTGCAAGATGAACTCGTGAGAGGTTGATCCACTCACTTCTCCGGGTCCTGTAGGGGAGGTGCGGCGTCGTGCCCTCCCGCGACCCCACAGCGAGCGCGACAGAGTCGATGAGCAGCAGGGCAACAGTCAGCACCAGCAGCCGCCTCATCGTGAAGAGGACGGAGGTGGCGAGGACGACGACGGAGACGACGTTGTTGTTCGACGATGACGGGAGGTCTCCTCCCGGCTCCTCCTCTGCTCAGTGCCGAGTTGCTGTCATCACGGGCACTGCGCAGAGCAGTCCAGACAGAGGCCCTCAGTTTTTACGTGGACGGACGGAGGCTCGAGAGGGGACGGGTAGACGAACGGTAGAGGGCTAACGTTACAGGGCAGATGAAAGGACAAATCGGGAGATGAGCACGTGGACAAAATGACAAGCGGACGTATTACCGGACAGATGGACGCATGGGCATTGTACCGCCATACGGATGGGTACGGTTATACGGGTGAACGGAAGGACAAATACACAAGCACAAAGATGGACAGCTCAAAAGACAGGCGTAGATGAACAGAAATGGATGAACACATGTACAGGCTACCTGCAAACGAGACTCCTACGAGTTTTCACCTGATTAAAACATGTGAACGTGACCAGACAAGATCAAGAGAGTGGAGAGACGGACAACCAATTCCCGATGTATGTATCGCTGTTATCCAGGAAAACCTAAAACTCCACACCTTTTTTTCCTCCCCAATGCTCATGGACCACCATCACCAACCACCTTGCCAGGTGTGACTATTCTATGGCCGGGTGAACCTGGATGGAGACCCCACAGCATGATCTGGATAACAAATCTACCATCGAATGGATAGACGGATGAATGAAATGTGAGTGCAGCGATGAAGAAACCCACAGCACGTGGAGCCGAAACGGACATGACACCAAACACCACATAAGTAAAAAAATGTACCCGTAAAAACAAAGTTTATCACTCCAAATCCTTTATATGCGTGGCGGCTAGAGTCCTCGCGTCCTCTGGCTTGAGATGGCTGCCACCTATGGGTCAGATGATTGTCTGCCACCATTAAGCAATTGGTAACTAAATATTTATTTATTTTCCCCTAAACGGTGTAAAATTTAGGAAAAATTTTTTCACGAAAATTAATTGTCACGCACAACGAGTCTGTGTGCAAAATGTCAGCTCGATTGGATCACTGGAAGTGGGTTAAAAAACGACCGAAAGATTTGCACGGTCGTAAGCAAGCACGCAAGCACGCAAGCACGCAAGCGAACTTAATATAAAGGATTTAAAAAAACACGGGACAGCTCAGAATAATATTTGGCCGACGCCACGGTCAGGAATCGAACCCAGGCTGCTTCTGTGAGATTACACAGAATGAGCCGATAAAAGCGCAAATGTAACTTCCTGGTCATCAACATGTCTCCTTCGTTCGCCTCGACCACCGGTCCCATCGACCCCATACTATAGTCATCGACTATTAACGTTACACAGGCAATGAAGAGCCTCCAACTATAACGCGTGTATGTTGAACTTCTTTCGCACCGTGCGTAGCCAAAACGTGCTCATCGGAGGGAGGTGCGGGGGAAGGACAGACTAAACACAAAGGAGTTTTAAAACATTCGATTGTCAATATAGATTTAAAAGTGCATACGTCCCAGCGACTTCCCCAACTACTGCCCGTTCTCCAATCCCACGCGTTCCTCTCCTCGTGTCTCAGGAATATTTTTTGTCCCGCTTCCAAACTTGCATCTCCAACACAGAAGTTAATTACCACTTGGCATGTACCAGAGGTCGCAAACGGGTTTTGATTCCTTACCCGTACCCGGCCGCACCAGGGTACCCGTTCCCTACCCGTATCCCTACCCGAAATGAGTGACAAACGGTTACTCACCAGTGACTCACGGCCTACCCGTACCCGGCCACACCAGGGTCGTACCCGGGTACCCGTTCCCTACCCGTACCCTACCCGAAATGAGTGACAAACGGTTACTCACCAGTGACTCACGGCCTACCCGTACCCGGCCTTACCAGGGTACGGGTAGCCGGGTATCGGGTAGGGTACGGGTATCGGGTACCCGGGTTGCGACCTCTGGCGTGTACTTTGTTGTGCGGGAGCAGTGGCGTGGCACTGGCACTCTGCGCTACGAGTTCCATTCCCCCGGGGTCACGGGTAGTAACATCAACCTCCCCCCTGTTCACGTCACCTCGGAATCCACACGACAGTAACGAACGGCGAGTGGTGAAGTATGGTCAAACTCCCATCGAGATGAAAACCACCACGTTCCTACACGACGTGGGAGGGAGACCCAAAACACTGCATTTAAATGCTCTTTAATATAAATATTGTACTTCTCAGCGGATCATAATCGGAAGGAGATAACCCCCCCAACAGGATTCTGTTGACCTCGCCCATCATCCATCTCTGCAGAATCGATCAAGACGAGTACCACTTTGTGGCGGGGAGGTGGGGGTAGTTCACGAGTTGAACAGAGCGAAAGACGCGCCCCCCTCGCCATAGAATTGTGGAATTTCCACCACCGGCCTCAAGGGTGTACAACTAATTTAAAATATAAACCGACCGACTCTGCCCCATCGTCATAACCAATAGTTACCATTAAAGTATAGTATTCACGATTCTAAAAACACAGTACACACACACACACACACAACTACCTTGCCCGACACTTACCACGATGCACAACCAAACACAAAGATCCCCCTTATAGCAGAGGCAGACCCTTGGGGCGGTTAGCGAGAACCTATGAAGGCCGGCACGGCACAAGAGGTGGTGGGTGGCCAGCACCACGCCCGGCCGCCTTTGTATCCCCAGTGGCGATGTTTACTGCACACCGCACGAGGTGCAGTGCTCATTTGAGGCAGAGTCGATCACGACGGACACTCACACACAGAATCACACACACTCACTCAAATCACACACACACACACCACAACAACAACCGCCATTCGCCACTAAGTGGCGGTGACGTCACCACGACGCTTGTGCCAGGCTATGTGCACCTTGAGGCTACCACGTGAAGTGTCGAACGCCCGCCGGCAGGAGGTCACGGGGCAGACCCAGCAGGTGCCACGGGTCGACTGACCGAGATGACCGAGATGACTGGCTGATGCGCCACCTGTGCCCCCTACTGTGCCAACTTGCTGTGCTTTAGCCACCCGGCGCTCCGCTCGTTGTTGTGAGCGTCGCTCCTCCGCTCTCCGTTGTTGTTGGAGGGCGACTGCCTCCAACTGCCCAGTAGCAGCGTCCTTCACGAGCCTCCTCCACAGAGGCCGATCTTGACACCGCTGGTACCAGTCATCGGCAAGTCCACTCCAAGCTTATTAGTTACAGGTTTATGTTTAATTCGTGGTTTCGTGGTAATTAATTGAACACACACACACTCACAGAATCACACATAATCACACACTCACAGAATCACACATAATCACACACTCACAGAATCACACATAATCACACACTCACAGAATCACACATAATCACACACTCACAGAATCACACATAATCACACACTCACAGAATCACACATAATCACACACTCACAGAATCACACAATCACACACTCACAGAATCACACAATCACACACTCACAGAATCACACAATCACACACTCACAGAATCACACAATCACACACTCACAGAATCACACAATCACACACTCACAGAATCACACACAATCACAGTCACAGAATCACACACAATCACAGTCACAGAATCACACACAATCACACTCACAGAATCACACACAATCACACTCACAGAATCACACACAATCACACTCACAGAATCACACACAATCACACTCACAGAATCACACACACAGAAACACAGGGAATCGCACACACACCTCACACACACAGAATCACACTCACTCACACACTATCACTCACACTAAACCAGACGCCGATGCACACCTCCACGACCACCTCCACTTGGCTGCGCGGCTCCGCCTCTCACTCGGAGGACCAACGAACCCACCACGTGGAAGCCACGAGTTAGGAGCAGCGAAGCCCTCATATACAAGCGATATCACCCGTGCCTAATTATTGATGATGATGATGATCATTAATGTGTTGCATATTCCCCCCGCCCTCCTCTCCCGATCACACCCCGTCATCACCACTCACCTGCATCACAGGTGTGTGTGTGTGATAATGGGTTCATTAGAGATTCGCGTAAACGCCGTCCTGTTGCGATTATGAGACGCACGGGTTTGAAAGTAAATCGGAGCGGGGTGCGTTTCATAATCGAAATGTGTACCTGTACGACGTCTTATTAACCAGAGCATATTGTGCCTCTGCAGGGGTCAGTCCAGTAGCCGTGGTTTGAATCAATTTGTCAATATATTCGTCATGAATAAATAATGACGATCAGGATTAACACAATGCCCTCATGGATAGATGGGTTACCATGAATCGATTAAACATTGATTAAACATCGATTCGTTAAGCTCTGGATTTTTCATGGATCAAGCCGCATGCATCAGACTCTGTTTATGGTTCGAGTAAGTTATATAATAGGTTCACGTGAATTCGGCATCCACTAGAAGCCGCTACTATTAACTGTACTGCAGTGTAACATAGTTGATCGATTCAAAAGTGCAATCGTGATTATTAATCGAATCTTCGTTACATCGACTGCCACTGTTGAATAATTCCACAAAAAGGCAAAGATCCCCCATTAGGCCTCCACATCATACTATTGGGACAAGTGCTGTTAGCAAGCATCTGTGAAAGCCGGCACAGCGCACGAGAGGACGACGCCCGGTCGCCTTTGTCTCCCCAGCGCTGACATTTCAACACCTTAGGCTGAATTTTGATTTGAAGCTGTCGTGACTGCAGGAATCTATACTCTTTAGTTCTTTCGGTAAAGTCACCTTGGGCTGAGTTGACTTAGGGAAAGCCCAGCACAGATTCGGACGCCACTCGCCACCGACGTTAGCCGTGACCTGGACGCTAACTTAGGGTTGCTGTGTGTCTTGTGCAAACCACTGGCCGACAAAGAGGGTGGTGGGATCCCAAAGTCAGTAACTGCGAGTTCAATTGACACACGTGGTAGTGGAGGAGTGTGTGACCTGCCCTAATGTGGCTTCCCTGGTGGTCTAGTGGTTAGGATTCGGCGCTCTCACCGCCGCGGCCCGGGTTCGATTCCCGGTCAGGGAACGAAGTATTTTTTTTTAAGTACACATTTTTTTTTATAACAAACTGCGCTACAAATTCTAGATTTGAAGCTTTCGTGACTGCAAGGATTCATACTCTTAGTTTTTTCGGTCAAGTCACGTAGGTAAAAAATGAAATTAAAATTAATAAAATTATTATTATTATTTTACTTTGATTCATTTTCATTTCATTTTTACCTATGTGTAGTAAGTTGATGAGGAGACGATGAGGAAGTTGAGACACACTGTTTATTAACTCCGGGACAGATACAATAGTTGAAGGGGTATCGGCCCCTTCACCCGTACTATGGGAAACCCACCCTAGTACTAAGCCCTCTGTCCTGTCCCCCAGTCCTCCTCTACTGGGCTACGGGAGGCTGACTGATCTGGCCCTGGCAAGCACAGATCTCGGCACCAGCTAACCAGCCTTGCCCTGATAAGGGCAGCGGTCTGGAAGCTCTTGGGCCGCGCCACTGGCTTACCCGGCTCGGCCCTTATAAGGACGGCGAGACCGGGGAGTCCCAGGGCCTAATCTCCGAGTCTTGGATCTTCACTGGTCAGCTTCGTGTCGAACTGCCTCGAGCTCTTTGGGTTCCACCTTTTATAGGGATCGCCTCCGAGGGCTGGGGGCGTGGGCAATAACTGATGCGGACGTCGGTGTGACCCCCCGTGTATGTGAGTGCCGACAGCCCTGTGTTTGTTGTCCGCCGTTTCTCCCGTAATAACCCCTACATCTGTGACTTTACCGTAAAAAACTAAGAGTACGCGCTACAAATCCAGAAATCTGGCTTTGAATCACAGTCCCGGCTAACGTCAGTGGCGAGTAATATCTTAACTGCCTTTGGGCCTCCCTCCCGCCCGCTCCTTATTGACTAGAGCGTATAGTCAGACAATCCCCGTGAATAACAACGCTGTCATCACTTGCATGCAAAGACAAAGATCCCCCATATAGCCTTGGACAGAGTGTTGGGTCACGTGCAGCTGTTGGCGAGGACACGCGCACGTGATGTGGCCAGCACCACGCCCGCCCGCCTTTGTCTCCCCAGCGTTCATGTTTACACACCGCATCGGCTACTTATTTAAGGCTGAGTGGACCTCGGGGAGGCCCAGGACCGGTTCAGATCATCGTCGCTGGTGTCGACCGTGACCCAGTATCGGAACTTGGGTCGCCGGGTTTTTAGCGCAGCGCATTGGCCGCTACCCGAACCGCTACACTATCGCACACGTACACACCCGCACACGCGTGCAGGTACTCTTTGCTTTTTTCCGGTAAAGTCACGCGGGTAAAAAAATAAAAAAATAAAAATCACGACGTTTCGGGCGCAACACAAGCGTCCTTAAATTTTGATTGAAAGCTTTCGTGACTGCAGGGATTCATATTAATATAAGTATAGTTTAATTTATTTTATTATTTCCCTTCTACGTGACTTTACCGAAAGAACCGAGACTAGAAGCGTCCTTCTGCAGGTGGGGACAACTTAGCGAAAGCACGGTTGTGTTGCGCCCGAGACGTCGTGATTTAATTTATTTAAAAAAAATTTACCTACGTGACTTTACCGAGAAAAATTAACCCGTAAAAACAAAGTTTTTCACTTTAAATCCTTTTTATGCGTGCCATCGGTTTTATTTTTATTATTCATTTCAGTTTTTCTTGAGTAAGAGTTTCATTTTTATCACATTGGTATTTTAAATTAAATATGAATTTTTTTTTCCTAAAAAGTGGAAAATTTTGGAGAAAAAAAAATCACGAAAATAAATTGTCACGCACAACGAGTCTGTGTGCAAAATGCCAGCTCGATTGGATCACGGGAAGTGGGTTAAAAAACGACCGAAAGATTTGCAAGTGAACTGAATATAAAGGATTTAAAAAACAAAGAGTATGAATCCTTGCAGTCACGAAAACGTCAAATCTAGTCACGTACAGATACACACGCACAAGACAAAGATCCCCCGTATATCCTCAACAGACTGTTGGGGCAAGTGCTGTAAGCGAGCAGCACCTATGAAGGCCGCCACGGCACACGAGGAGGGGGTGGGCGGTCAACGCCACGTCCGACCGCCTTTGTCTCTCCCCAGTGGCGATGTTGTTTTACACACCGCACCAGGTACTCATTTGAGGCTGAGTTGACCTGCACGCACACGGTTTCCCACCTGTGCTGTCTGAATGAGTCGCCTGGGATCCAGATGAGACCACGACTCTCCCTCTGACTTCTCACAGCGGCGCAGGAGGTGAAGACGTCGAGCGAGAATAGACGGCGTGTGCCTCGTGTGAGTTTGTGTGTAGTGTGTGGTGTGTGTGTGTAGTGTAGTGTGGTGTGTCTCGTGTGTGTAGTGTGGTGTGTGGTGTGTGTAGTGTGGTGTGTGTCTCGTGTGTGTAGTGTGGTGTGTGTGCGTGTGCCTCGTGTGAGTGTGTGTGTAGTGTGGTGTGTTTCTCGTGTGTGTAGTGTGGTGTGTGTGTGTCTCGTGTGGTGTGGTGTGTGTGTAGTGTGGTGTGTGTGTGTGTCTCGTGTGAGTGTGTGGTGTGTGTGTGATGTGTGTGTCTAGTGTGTGTGTGTGGTGTGAGTGTGTGTCTCGTGTGAGTGTGGTGTGTGTGTGTCTCGTGTGGTGTGTGTCTAGTGTGTGTGTGTAGTGTGTGTGTGTCTCGTGTGAGTGTGGTGTGTGTGTGTCTCGTGTGTGTATCGTGTGGTGTGTTTGTGGTGTGAGTGTGTGTCTAGTGTGGTGTGTGTGTGTCTAGTGTGTGTGTGTGGTGTGTGTGTGTGTCTAGTGTGTGTGTGTGGTGTGTGGTGTGTGTGTGGTGTGAGTGTGTGTGTGTGTCTCGTGTGAGTGTGTGTATCGTGTGGTGTGTGTGTGGTGTGTGGTGTGTGTCTAGTGTGTGTGTGGTGTGTGGTGTGTGGTGTGTGTGTGGAGTGTATGTGTGTGTCTAGTGTGAGTGTGTCTGGTGTGTGTGTGTCTAGTGTGAGCGTGTGTGAGTGTGTGTGTCTAGTGTGAGTGTGTCTAGTGTGAGTGTTTTAGTGTGAGTGTGTGTGTGACTAGTGTGGTGTGTATCTAGTGTGGTGTGTGTGTGTCTAGTGTGTGTGTGTGTGTCTCGTGTGAGTGTGTGTGAGTGTGTGTGAGTGTGTGTTTGTCTAGTGTGTGTGTCTAGTGTGAGTGTGTGTGAGTGTGTGTGTCTAGTGTGAGTGTGTCTAGTGTGTGTCTAGTGTGAGTGTTTTAGTGTGAGTGTGTGTGTCTAGTGTGTGTGTGTATCTAGTGTGGTGTGTGTGTCTAGTGTGTGTGTGTGTCTCGTGTGAGTGTGTGGTCAGTCTACTCTCGTGTAGCAGACATTGTGTATGTATGACTACGCTTGTGTCGCTGCGTCTAGAGTGCGCGCATAACATGCGCGTGTGTGTCTCTGTTCGCTAAGTGTCTGGCTGTATATTCTATATAATATAAGTGGCTATGGGTCTCGCGTATGATCAGATATATGTATAAGAGTGTAGAACGCCGAGTGTTTGCATTGCTGCTGTATACGAGTGGTCTTGTGTGCAGGAATAGCGTGTGATGAGTGCAGCGCACGATTTGTTAAAGCGTGCTTGTTGTTGTTGATACGTGTGATTGTTTTCGCTCTTCGTTGAGTACACAGGAGTGAGTGTGTGTGTTAGCGGAGTGGGGTGTGAGTGGAGTGTCAGCTTGTCTGCTGTGCGTGCGAGCCCACTGTGTGTGGTGTTGTGTCACTTCCCACTCTCGTTCATGCGCGACCACGCGGGTATAAGGATCCAGTGGTGCTGCATAGATTACTTATATTGGGGGGGGAGGCGGAGGGGGTGGATAGGGGGGGCGGTCAGTGTGCACGTGCTTGTGGAATTACCCGCTAAGGGGCTGTCCATAAATGACGTCACGCGATTTTGGACGATTTTTTTTACCCCCCTCCCCTCCACCCATCGTCACACGGCGTCACAAAAAGTCAGAACCACCCTCAAATATGACGTCACAAAGCTCTGCCCCCCCCCCCCCCCCCAAAAAAAAAGAAACATGCTTCAAATCGCTTTAAACTATTGTCATTGTAGTGCGTATTTAATGTGGCGCTGCACTCTGATGTTGTAGGAGAAAACATTTATTAAAAAGTCTATTCAATTAAGTGGAACGTGTTGTCTATATTTATTTAAAGTTGCGCATTTTGATGTGACGTCACATTTCTCCCCCCCCCCCCCCCCCCCCATCGTCACACATCGTCACAAATGTCTGACCCCCCCCCCCCCCCCAATGTGCGTGATGTCATTTATGGACGGCCCCTAACAGCACTTGCCCAATCCGTTAAGACCAATAGGGGATCTTAACGGAGTGGCCAAGTGCTGTGCGCGTGGTGCCTGCCGGGGAGCGGTGGTGCAGCGGTTAGCGCTACGCTGCGCTACGAAGCCGGCGACCCGAGTTCGATTCCCGCTCACGGCCAACACCGGCGACGATTATCTGAACCGGTCCTGGGCCTCCCCCTTGGTCGACTCAGCCTCAAATTAGTGCCTGGTGCGGTGTGGAAACATCGCCACCCACGTGGCCACTCGCTAACAGCACTTGCCCCAAAGTCTCTGGAGGTTATACGGGGGGTCTTTGTCTGTGTGTGGTGGTCGGGCGTGGTGCTGGTCACCCAGCCCTCGTGTCCCGTGCCGGTCTTCATCGGTGATCGCTAACAGCACTTGCCCGAATAGTATGTTAAGGCTATACGAAGGATCTTTGTCTTTTGTGTGTGTCTGTATGGAGAGCGGTGGTGAAGTGGTTAGCGCACTGCGCTCCGAACCCGACGACCCAAGTTCGATTCTCGCTCACGATCAATATGGTTGACAAATATCTGGACTGGTCCTGAGTCTCTCCTAGGTCAGCTCGGCCTTAAACGAGTACAGCTGGTACGGTGCGCAAACATCACAGAGGAGACGAAAGAGGCTGGGCGTGTTGTTGGCCACCCACCCTCTCGTGTGCCGTTCCCACCTTAATAGGTGCTCACCAACAGCACCTATCCCGACAATTTGTGACGAGCTATGCGTGGGATCTTTGTCTAAGTGTACGTCTATCTGTGTGTAACCGGGCAACCTCAGTTAAAGTCCCAGCCACGGCTAATATCAGTGACGGTGACATAACCACAGCGCTTGTGCCAGGCTAGGTACACTTTGAGGCCACAGACACACACACACATACATAAACGCATTTTCATAAATATACACATACGAAAAAGGATAAAGATCCCCCGTATAGCCTTTCCAAGCTTTTGGGGCAAGTGCTCCTGTATACACAGACAGACAAACAAAGACAAACATCCCCCGTATAGTCTTAAACAGACTTCTGGGGCAAGTGCTGTTCGCGAGCACCTATACACAGACACACACACGTACATACACAGACATATGCATACACATAAACTCCACTCGCCCCCCGCCCTCATGTACCCCCCCTTTGCCTTCTCTGCCCCCCCCCCCTCCCATGGGCTCGAATTGCCCGTATATGTCATCCCTACCCGTGGTGTCATCTCAGCAGTGCACATCTCACATCGACCCAAGCCCGTCAGCACCATCGCCCCCCCCACCGCACCGCAACTCCCCCACTCGCCAGATTATTTATCAATTTATTTATTTACTTTAAAGGCACTTACGAATTCGTCAGCGTTCATCTCATTTCACAAGGCCCTCCTCTCCCCGTGCAAGATCTATAGAGAGCCGCCCTCGCGCAGAACAGAACAGACGCAGGTACCAGCTCGGACGGGTACACGCGTGGCTCCCAAAGTCAAAGAGGTGCAATATTGATTGGTTCTTTCGGTAAAGTCACGTAGAAGGGAAATAATAAAATAATAAAAATAAAACGTAATAAAATACAATTCTCACGAAGTTTCGGCCACAACGCGAGCAGCCGTCTTCAGGTGAAGAACAGGTCTGTCAGACGCTGTCTTTCCGACAGACCTGTTCTTCACCCGAGGACGGCTGCTTGCGTTGTGGCCGAAACGTCGTGATAATTATTTTATTATGTTTTATTTTTATTATTTTATTATTTCCCTTCTACGTGACTTTACCGAAAGAACCAAGAAGATGAATCCCTGCAGTCACGAAAGCTTTAAATCGAAATTTAGGTCCAATATTGATTTGGGGCCCTTTTAAGCCAATGGCCCACAACAAAAAAGTGCGCCTTTTGGCGTCATCTGGTCGAACACCAATATGAGACGAGGCTCTAAGGAAAGCTGTCTCTGGTGTGGACCAATCAGTTTCAAAGAAAATGCATAAATTATCAGAGTATTGCTTTTTTGTTTGCATTTGACTGCAAGTATTGTGGTTAATGTAACCATGATTCCTTGCAAAAGGTATCAGTTTTGTTGCCAGAAAAAAGGGGAAAACCCCTATTAGTAGACAGATATCACCAATATATCTGTCTACTAATATGTCTGTCTATAGTTTTCTGGTTAGATTTTATGTCGCTATTTCATTATACCTGATGATGATTGCTTGTGTTGCAATCGAAACGTCGTAATATGCTATTATTTAATTTATTATTTTATCTTTAGACGTGACTTAACCGAAAGAACCAAATAATAATTCCTGCAGTCACGAAAGTTCTAAAATTAAGAGGGAAAACCCCTATTAGTATATTTTGGTACTGGCAAAGGAGGTCCCATGATGAAGGTTACCAAATGTCTGCTTATGCTAAGATTTAAATCCACGGTGGACAATGCACATTGTGGATACTTCTCCTTCAACGCATGGCTGCTGATGTTGTAGAGCAACAGCTGCAACTTGACATTGAGGTGGTGATTCTAGATTTGAAGCTTTCGTGACTGCAAGGATTCATACTCTTAGTTCTTTCGGTAAAGTCACGTAGGTAAAAAATGAAATTAAAATTAATAAAACAATAAAAAATAAAAAATAACGACGTTTCGGAGGCAACACAAGTCTCCGTCATCAGGTGGGACCGTCACAGCCACATTTGCTGCATCATGTGACGGACCCACCTGATGACGGAGACTTGTGTTGCCTCCGAAACGTCGTGATTTTTTAATTTTTTATTGTTTTATTTTTATTAATTTTAATTTTATTTTTTACCTACGTGACTTTACCGAAAGAACTAAGAGTATTGAGGTGGTGGTTGAGCCAGATGATTGTGCCAGGAGTTGCGGAGTGTATCGCTGTGATGATCAACATGAGAGCCTTGCAGGAGGAATCCGATGAGCTATGAAGCTCTTTTTCACTGATGTCCAATATGAGCGGATTAGCAAGTTACAGCAACAATAACAACAACCATAGGAGTGCAAAATAGAGGTAAAAGTTAGCAAGTCACTCAATATAAACAAAATATATAAAAGTAATTCATTATTATAAAAAAAAAAATTTCCCTTCTACGTGACTTTACCGAAAGAACCAAGAATATGAATCCCTGCAGTCACGAAAGCTTTAAATCAAAATTTAATTCATTATTACCATATTAAAAAACCCAATGGGTAATGAATACCCGTTGTAATTTATATGCACAATTTTGATTTGAAGCTTTCGTGACTGCAGGAATCCATACTCTTTGGTTCTTTCGGTAAAGTCACGTGGGTAGAAAATAAAATAGATCCCGACGTTTCGGGCGCAACACACAAGCATGAGTCATCATGTGGGAAAGCGTGGCCAGCTGCAGCAGACCTGATGACGGACGCTTGTGTTGCGCCCGAAACGTCTGGATCTATGTTATTTTATACCCACGTGACTTTACCGAAAGAACCAAAGAGTATATGCCTTCCTCAAGAGATGAGATTGCATCTTGAATCCCTGCCTCACTTGATGCAGCAAATCTGGCTGTGACGGTCCCACCTGATGACGGAGACTTGTGTTGCCTCCGAAACGTCGTGATTTTTTTTATTATTTAACTTTTTTTATTAATTTTAATTTAATTTTTTACCCACGTGACTTTACCGAAAGAACCAAAGAAAGTATATGCACACATCAACACCCCCCCCCCCCAACTTCGCACTAAAAGGCTCACAAGTGACCTCATCAAATCTATCCATTTAAGGAATGAAACAGGAGGAGGATTTCATAATCAACGTTTTTGGGTTTAGATCGCGTTATTTATAAATGTGTCGTAACCTTCCACCACCCGACACGGCCAATCAGTAAAAAAGTGTCACGTTGACAAAAGACAAATAGTTCACTGCTTTAGCCCACCGGAGTGTTGAAGCCACAACATTTACAATTTGAGTACGACGTTTCGCTTGTAATTGCATCCAGCATCATCGGGCAATTCGCCAGAATGGTGAGGCTCTGCTGTGTCTCCCGTTCTTATATAGAGCAGCAGCAGGGTGACGTCATCATCAATTCATTAACTCATCAGGTGCAAAGATTCAAGGAGGAGGATTTCTCCACAAATCTGGCTGCCGCCTGATGATGCCGGTTGTAATTACTGGCGAAACGTCGTACTCAGATTGTAAGTGTTGTGGATTTGCTCTCCAACACAGCGGTGCACTCACTGTACTAGTAACGAATTGGCACGTTCTGTTCACGTGACAAACCTTACTAATTGGCTGTGTCGGGTTGGTGGCGGGTTTATAGACAACATTGATATATTTACGTGATCTAACAAAAAAAAATACTATATTATGGATCAATTATTATATAACTCAGATTTATAAAGCTTGGGCAAGGCAGCAAAAACAACAAAACAGTCTCAGACCACACCAAGATGACACCACAGAGTAGTAGTCTATGGGTCCCTACATGAGTCTATGGGTCTCTATGTA